ATTACTTTACGCCAATGTTTATTTTTGAGATGTTGTATGGGGCAATTTCATACAACTGAAAAAATGTACTTTTTTTTAAACATTTTGATATGAGCAAAAGCGTGACCCACCACAATTTTTTAGGAGTGCATTCTAATTTACTCTCTTCATGTGTGGTGAAAAAATTGGGATGGGTCAAGCTTTTGCTCACACTTTTTTATCACTCTGAAAATATGAAAATGCAGGTTTTTCGAAGATATTGTAAAATAGGTTAACTTTGAGGTCTTCAAAGAGGGAAAAAACAGCACTAAAACATATAAAAAACATATGGAGGTAATTTCAACAATTCATTTAGCATTTTTTATGCTAAAATTATCATGTTGTAGAACTTTGAATATCATGAAATTTTGTGGGCCAATGAGGGCCTTTATCATACCTTGTCCTTTGTTATTGATTTTATGATCGATCGATGTCACTGGAGCGTGTGTTTCGCTCAGCGGGGGGTAACTGATTGTTGATAGCGCGGGTTACAACTTGTAACACGAGCTAAATACAACAACCGCTACCAGATATAAAACAATGACAGTAATTAGAGCTGTTCATCTCATCCGCTGGGAATGAACGGGGTCTGGTTAGCCGACTGCCATTTAATGGCAGCCTGGAGACATGATACAAGCACCTGCAGTGCACTTGATGTTTTTCTATGCATATTCTGATGATATATATGCTACGTAATCCTCGAGTGGCTCAGTTAATAGATATCTCGAAACCGGATGTCAATGACATTTATTGTCTATCTTTTGTGTGGGTGGTCTTACTGTATAGGGCTGCGTCACAGTCATCGATTCGTGGGTTCGAATCCGAGAATATGATCCTTGGTCTTTCGACACCATCCCCACGCTAGTGCATTCCCTCCTTGTTATTGTTATTGTTATCATTTTATATTCGCAAGAACAGATGAGATACACTATACATTGAAGAAGGCGTTAAACGTCTGATGATTTCATCAAGTTCCAGGCTTTTGTGTCCAACAAATTTGTGATAAATCCTGATATGGTTTACAATCACTAAATTGGACTTTGTGAGTCTTGACGTCGGCCTGTCCACTTCAAGATAGTTCGAACCGGAACTCTGATTAAAGAGACGTTGTCGATAAGACACCGCCTTGACTCCCACCTGTTTGGTGAGATTAGAACAGATGTCAGAATGACCACGTTTCAGTACCGCTCATGATGGCGCCTGGTCACGTATACAACGCACAGGACATAGATGGGACGAAGTTTATCAACGCTTATTCGGCGACGTGTAATACACGGATAACTCCCAAGACTTTCTGCTACATTGTTCCTGTCCCACACTGAAACACCAGTTTTTATGGAGAAGCATGTACAATGTGAATGTCCCCACTAAAATGTTTTGTACACACACACGCACGCACGCACGTACGCACACGCACACACAAGCACGCACTACTATTTATCACATCATATAAGCCTTTTGGGTTACTTTGTGCAAAGGTTCTTCAAAACAGTTATAAAATTCCTTTTCTGTTTAGCATAAATTTGTTAAATGAAGGGGTTTCGCTGGCGTCCGTTTTCTCCGTATCCCTTACTTAAGATTCATCTCTAGGGTTAAAAACATGTTCCTGTGCGTGTTTCTGACTTAAGAAATGGAAGGAAAACCCTCATTTTGAACTAGTGTCCAAAACCTCATGATCTGGCAATTGGGCAGCACAATACACCCTGTTATACACCTTGGTATCGGCACACGGGCCGCCGCCAACCAAACACGCCATGTTCTCTGTCTCCATATCAAAACTGGTTGAGGACTGTTCTTTAAAAGCAGACCCTCGTCTTATGGATGTGGAGAGCGGAAGGTCCGTGGTTCAACCTCTTGCTACGTCAAACTGAAATCATTACAAGTTACTTGTTGTTACGCTGCCTGATGCTCAGCAATAATAGACCCGTGAAGATCCGGGGTAGAATAGGTCTTCAGCAACCGACCCGTGAAGATCCGGGGTAGAATAGGTCTTCAGCAACCCATGCTTGCCACAAAAGGCGATTATACTTGTCGTAAGAGGCGACTAACGGGATCGGGTGGTCAGGCTCGCTGACTTGGTTGACACATGTCATCGGTTCCCAATTGCGCAGATCGATGCTCATATTACTGATCACTGGATTGTCTGGTCCAGACTCGTATTTACAGACCGCCAACATATAGCTGGAATATTGCTGAGTTCGGCGTAAAACTAAACTCACTCACTCACTCACTCAGCAATAAGGGATTCAAACAAGGACTTTTTCGGCTCCAGTATACCACATCTGAGTTATTTATACTGGGGATTTTCTTGACGTAAGACATGTGTTTATACGTGTTCCTTAGACATTTCTTGTCTTCTTTCTTGAATATTCCATGTCATTTTGGATCGCCTGTATTTTCATAGATGGGTTTAATTACGACTTTTTGCCATTTTTCTGAGGACGTGTAGGTACATTGTACAAAGCTGAATGGTTTAACATAAGTACAGTTAATTATATCGTCAGCATATACAACACTTTAAAAGGTATTTCTGGAAAATATTTCAGTAATGAAGTGTCCCAATAACGACATTTACTCTTAGGCCATTCAACATATACCCCAACCATCTTCTCAGACAGTGGCGGCGGGGTAGCCTCGTGGTAAAAGCATTCGTTCGTCCCGCCGAAGACCCGGGTTCGATCCCCCACATGGGCACCATATGTGAAGCCCATTTCTGGTGTCCCCCGCCGTGATATTGCTGGAATAATGCTAAATACGGTGTAAAAACATACTCACTCACTCTTCTCAGACCAAATCTGTTACCATTATCTCAAGCTCACCCCGTAATGTGAGTGAGTGAGTAAGGTTTGACGCCACTATTAGCAATATGCCAGCCATATCATTGCGGGGGACACCAGAAATGGGCTTCACACATTGTAGGGGAATCAAACAGGGGTCTTCGGCGTGAAACGCGAACACTTTAACCACTAGGCTACCCCACCGCCTCTCTCAACCCTTGTAGGTAGGCAGCACACCACCGGGGTAGTACCAGTTGCCTGGACACGATCAGAGCTAAAGTATTTCTGACACAATCCCACATAATTCTTTCACTGACACAATCCTGCTTAAGTCTCACGAGATCATGCACTGCTGGGTGTTATGTGAGGACCTTGGGGCCCTCTGTTTTCAGAGCTTCTGTTGAGGTAGACACTTGGTAGGTTGCGGACAATAGGCTAAGTGTGGGGTTTACGCTAGGCACATTGACCTGGCAAATTAGTACAATATGCATGTATAATGTCATGAAACGAGTTCCCGACCAACGCGGTATTGGAGACGGGCCTTCTGTAGGCAAGTACTGACACTATAATCGGTGGTCATAAACTGTTGGTGTGTTTACGGGTGATTTAGATCGTGTGTCGACCAGTGCAACAATGCTGCCTCTTCGCTGTCTCAGACACTGTCGGTTCTGCCATGAGAATCGACTCCTGGACGTGCCACCTGTGTTTAGCTAAACGTCTTTCTGATATATCCCTGGAGATGGATGTGTGTATCTCGGCTTGATTAACTCTGCTCTGTTCGGATGACAATGCCCCGTGGCTCTCGTAATGTCCATTCACACGGTAAGTAAGTAGAGGCGAAACAACACTTTCTAGAATATCTGTAAAGCCTGGCGTTAGGTATTGGATTCGGACTGTACAAAAACATGTCTACAAGACAGGAGCGGCGATTTATAATGAAGTTTCAATTTTGTAGGTTTTCCGACATAATCGTGGGCTTTTGATTCATAATGACCTCCGTGTTGTATAAATGTCATTCGGTCATTTAGACTGGCGACATAAAGAAATACGCGTGTGTAGATTAACTGCAGCCATATGAAATCTAATCTTCTTTCATGACTTTTATATAGTAAAAATACTCCATTATAGGTGTGTAATTTCGTTTATCCATTACGTCATTACAACTGTACTGTGGACGATGTTACTTGATACAGTACATAAATGCAGTCTCTTTGAAAGTATAGGTGAGCTGGAGAACATCTGTATTAGAAAGTCTCTAGACCGGACAACACCTTGGCTGTGTACACAGGTAGAACACACACAAGGATATTCTTGTAAACAGTGTGATACATTGATGTTCAGCATTAATGTTGTATATTCCTTGAAGGGAAAGCTGGTTTAGGTGAAATTGTACTCAAAGACAGCAAAATGCATGCACGTGTGTGTGTAAGTGATTATAACCGGGTAAATGCAGGTTTTGTTTTCCGGACCCAAACGCAGTATCCAGACTGCGACCAGTCACCGTGTTATATCCCACTATACGACCAGGCGGTTGGCAGTGTACCCACCGTTTAACGTCTTCTGTAGTGACGCTGCCAGAGGTTCCTGTCTGGGCACACGATACACCACGGGGCGTTCTTCTGTAGTGACGCCGTCAGAAGTTCCTGTCTGGGCACACGATACACCACGGGGCGTTCTTCTGTAGTGACGCCGCCAGAGGTTCCTGTCTGGGCACACGATACACCACGGGGCGTTCTTCTGTAGTGACGCCGTCAGAGGTTCCTGTCTGGGCACACGATACACCACGGGGCGTTCTTCTGTAGTGACGCCGCCAGAGGTTCCTGTCTGGGCACACGATACACCACGGGGCGTTCTTCTGTAGTGACGCCGCCAGAGGTTCCTGTCTGGACACAAGATACACCAGGGGGCGTTCTTTAAGGAGAAGAAAGGGTTGCTCCGCTTCCCTGATCCACCAGGATCCCCTGGTTTGGGGTTCAAATCACGATTTGTCGCCACTGACTGCTACTTTGTTTGGAAAGTATAATTTCCTTCATGGTCGCTTCCACCAAACCGGTAAAGGTCCAAGACATGTATCAATCTGGTCTGGACCTGACTTCCCCATTATGTTGATGGTTATACAAGAACTGAAATACTGTTTAGGATGACGTTAAACCCAACACACTGACTCGTACTTGTGTATGTTATACTTACCTCCCCCTGTTCCAGGCCTGGACATCAGCGGGGAGAACCTGGAGGACCTCCTGGCGTATGATGACCTCTTCCTGGACTACTTCAACGCCTTCCTCGGACTTCCGGTACGTTTCAGTAGTAAACTTACACTAGAATATGTTTACGCCAGGTTAACTTCAAAATTTATCAACCTTAATGGAATGGGCGTGCTTTTGTTCACGCCAAGTCGGCAGGATGTGGTTTGATGTGATGATGATGATGATGATGATGATGATGTGAGTGTGTGTTACTTGCCGCGATACAAGTGAAGGACAGCCATATGTCACTGCTGGATGCTGCAGGTGTTTCCCCAAGCCCTGGGCTACAACCGTCTGACCGGGGCGTTCGAGGAGATCGACCTGAGTGACCTGAGCGGCTCCCTGTCTGGTTGTGTGTCCCCCTCAGTCCACTATGGCGCCACCACTGGGGAGTCCGAGAAGATGCTGGAATGGGCCAGGGAGGAGAGACTACCCCAGTTTCTCAGGTAAGATATCTCGTAAGTCAAACATCTCACTTCAGGTAAGAAACATATCTCATACGTCAAACATCTAAGTCAAACATCTCGTCCATCGCGCAAACATATCAAAACATCGTTCATACGTCAAACATCTCTCAAACATCAAACTCTCATACGTCAAACATCTCTCACACACGTCAAACATCGCTCATCCGTCAAACATCTCTCACACGTCAAACATCGCTCATCCGTCAAACATCTCTCACACGTCAAACACCTCTCACACGTCAAACATCTCTCACACGTTAAACATCGCTCACACGTCAAACATATCTCACATGAAACATTGCTAATACGTCAAACATCTCGTAAACCTCAAACATCTCTCACACGTCAAACATATCGTGATAACCGCACACATAAGTGTAAGGTCAACTTTAATATTCTTAAGAAATCCCTTGGCGGATGTATTAACGATTACTCTTGTATTTAAAGTTAACAGCGGAAGCTCATATCACGTGATTATCTGTATGTTGCAACCATTAAAATGACTAAACTGATAAAGTATATGTGTAAAGAAGGAAATGGTTGTTGAGTATCAACCTATCAGGACGATTTGGGACCTTGCTTAGTCACTGGTTTGTCTGGTCCAGACTCGATTTAGTTATGATGTAACTGATTGTGGCAACAAACTGTTTGAGATGCGGTCCAATCAGAGGTTGTCATTTAATCACGTGTTGCACCTTCATACTGCAGGCGATATATTTTACAACACTGCCTGCAACACGTGCAATCCATGCAAAGTTCGATTTACATATCCCTGTGTTCAAAGTAAGACGTAATAAGTGATATGACGCTTTACTATACAACTTTTCGACTACATAACCTCTTACGCATGTCTCTGACAGAACGCAACTGTTCCGAGAACTTAAGTTGTGCAAGCTCTTGCTCCGTCCCCTTGACGACCGTATCTCCGCTAGCCGGAACTCCAGCCGACAGCTACGGGGATACAGTCGTCAGTCCGAGAGCTATGTGTCCAGCCTTAGCAACAGCGCCGACAACAGTGCTGAAGACGTCTTGGATGACGAGTTCGGCCTGATGGAACTGAGACATTCGGCATTATACAGATTCCGGAGGCCGGGTAGTAGAGCACTCAGCGACCCCGCTGGGAGAATTTACTATGACAGTAAGTAAACGACCCGTCAATAAACTGATAAAAATCAACGGAGGAATGAAACATAAGTACGTAACACTGACCCTCGTTCACCCACAGCCCTCGTATAGTCTGAGTTATTGCAGTGCCGGATAGGAAGGAACACTGCACCCCACTTCAACACAAATGGTGAGGTGAGGTGAGGTGAAATTAGGTTTAACGTCGTGCTTGAGAATATTTCGCTCATATGACGACGTGCATGCGGGTGTATGTGTATGTGCGGCTGCTTGCACTAGCCCAGACTTAAGCTGGTTTTATAGTGCTGGCCCACTGAGATCCCTAGCCGCAGTGAAGCATGAATACCCCACTCAGACACATTATACTGACTCCGAGCCGACCAGTCCTTGTTGTACCCATTAATGCCGAGCGCCAGGCAGGGACCTACAAGTACCATATTTTAACGTCCGTTGGTATGACGCAGTCGGGGATCGAACCCGCTACCTTCCGCTCTCCGGGCGGACGCTCTAACCACTACACCACGGAGCGGTCGGAGGAATGAAACACATAAGTACGTAACACTGACCCCCCGTTCACCCAGAGCCCTCGTATAGCCTGAGTTATTGCAGTGCCGGATATGAGGGAACACTGCACCCCACTTCAACACAAATGGTAAATGGTTTGTGCGTTGGTTTGTTGATTAACTCCGCACTCAGTAATATTTCAGCTCTATGGCAGATTAACTATACTAATAATGTGAAATACGCTCAGTAGTCATTCTCACTGGGAAAAGTATAACTCAAGCTCCCCTCATCCTACTGGGTACCCATTTACTACTACATGAATAAGGGCATATTTCAAACAAAGCCACTGTCCTAGAGAGACATGCTACATGTTGTCCAGTGTCGGGCATCACCGAAGCACCTGAAAGTTTTAGGAGTCAAACTGTCGATCGCGGTCATGTATCCAAATATTCACTGCAAACACTCTCTTGGAAACATCGTGTTGATGACTGGATTGTCTGGTGCAGACTCGATTATTTACCGCTGCCACCTAGCTGGAATATTGCGGCGTTAAACGACAAACAAACATCTTTCCTAGTCCTGGGGCGGTGGGGTGGCCCAGTGCTTAAAGCGTTCGTTCGTCAAGCCTAAGACCCGGGTTCGATTCCCCACATGGGTACAATGTACATTTCTGGGGTCCGTTTCACAAAGCGATCGTAGCGCTACAACTGTCTTAAGTCTAAGTTAAAGTATGAGACTTACGATCACCTTGGCCCTACGATCGCTCAGTTTGATACGGGGCCCTGGTGGCCCCCGCTGGAATATTGCCTAAACCAGCGTGAACTAAACTCACTCACTTTCCTAGTCCTGTCCAACTGCAGTAACAATGCATCCTTATTATATTAGCTGTATATTATAAATACAGATATATTTATATGGTCACTTTTCCCACTCTGCCAAATTTTACACAAACCACCCATTGATAGGCTGTACTCTGACAGTAAGATGGCTGTTGACGGAAATTTCTCTTGTACCTTCACGGGGGGAGTGATTTGTCCTCTTGTAATATACATAGTGACATTAAGTATGTACACTAATCTATCAGAAGGGTTGGCTATGTAAACAATGATGTAACGTTTGGCTCATAACATTTCGCAATAACACACCATTAGTGACCTGATTTCAACACGATAAGGGACGGAGTTCTGCCCTTATATTACAACGAACCGCGGTCGACGGTTCCCACCAGATACTTCGCTGGGTTGTCAGCGCTGTTTAATGGCGTTCACAAAAGTAGTAAACATATAAAATTTGCAAAACTTTGGGGTTTTGTACACATTTAGCTGTTTCATACAACGGTAATATATGTGACGTTCAAACCAAACGCAACCACTTATTCTCTTTTTAGAATATTTAACACTAATAATCCAGTATGCCGGCAGAATTCTGTTTTTTAACATATATTTGTGAACAAGAGTTATGAAAGTGTTGCAGGTGATCTACTGTCTAATTGACTGGTAGAACAGGGCTGCATTTTCAAACTAAATGTATAATTTCGACTAATCGGATCATGTCGGTGGGAAACATGTAAACATGGCGATTTTCGATCTTAATTGCTACAGTCGGAGAAGACTTCAGTGACATGAGCGACACTACCTCCACCGGCACCATTCCTCCACAAGTACCCCGGGGACATCGGAATCCGAGCAACGGGATCCGTGGGGAGGGAGGGGCTGTCACAGAACGGGCGTCTTGTTCCCAGGGAGACAGACGAGGGGGACACAAGATGAGCAGCACGTCCAAGCGCACTACAAGGTAGACATGTCTCTACTGCTGGCCAGTATCAGACATCCCTGGCAATGCAGGGTATTATATCGCCATTCTATTATGAAAAGTACCCTGGATCCACCTGTGACCATGGCTTCCTTTAGGGAATGACGCCACACCTCAGTCGCTCCCATCTCACAGCACAGAAAATTTATGTCTTAAGTCTTTGATAGGCGTTTAAAAGTTTGAAAGGCAAAAATTGTCATGGATTTGGTGGGCGGTGCGGTAGCCTATTGGTTAAAGCGTTGGCTCGTCACGCCGAAGACCCGGGTTCGATTCCCCACATGGGCATAATGTGTGAAGCCCATTTCTGGTGTCCCCCGCCGTGATATTGCTGGAGTATTGCTAAAAGCGGCGTAAAACTAAACTCAGTCAGTCAGTCTTGTTTTAGTGTTGGGTCATGGAACCTTCTGCGGAATTTCGTAAAACTTCGGATGTTTAAGGATGATAGCGCCCTTTCGGCTGAACTTAGACATACCTTTTGACCAGTATTTGAAAGATCCTTCCCAGATTTTGTTGCTACCTAGATCAGGACAGTTCGAACTGTATATAGACTAAACTTTCAAACCATGAATATATAGACGAAACATAGTTAATGATGGTGATACTTTTCCAATGCTATCCGAGGTTATCCAATTTATTTATAGCCATTCCACTATGTTTCAATTCCTATAATAACTTGTATTACAGTAATGATGTAAGGCTATGGTACATTGTGCAGAAAGTACAGAATTATGAATATGTCATTTATAAACATTCACAGTTGAGTTCGTATCAAATTCCACACCGCGCGTTTCTTACACTGATAACTGACCTAGTAATTAGTAACTTGTGTTTTATATTGACAAAGGGTTGATGTGTCGATGTAAATTGTATATTACAGAATATCATCAGAGGTGGAAGTATTCCCGTCAGATTCCCTCACAGGTAAATATATAAATCATATCAGTAGTCTGTCATACATAGCTTGAAGCAAATATATCCAAGCAAGCCCACGCAAGTCTAGTAAATGTGGCAAGGCTAGATTTCCACAGGGCTCCTTTTCATTATATGTTTTTTTTACTATGAACTAAAAATATGTAAAATATGTTCATTTCAGAGACTAGGCAATTGTTACACAAACAGAGTAAGCTATGGGGGATTATTGGGAGGAAGCCAGTGATCCCCCATAGCTTACTTTGTTTGTGTAACAATTGCCTTCTTGTGTAAACATCCTCCAACCTTGTACATCAACCTCATTAATTGTGCAAACATCCATCACTTACTGTTCAACTTTACTGTGTATATAAATACACCTTGCATCTAGTATTGTACATCATTTGCTTGATAACGGTGTTAGTAGCTACACTGAAACGTCGCTCATATTATATTAAAGAAGTTGTATATCCATAGAACTCTCCTCGTTGTTCATCATACCAACTTCTAAATGCCACTCAAACAAGTTAACTTATATAAGTTGTTAGTCTAGTTCCAGGCTTTTATGTCCTACAAATTTGTGATAAATCCTGATATGGTTTACAATCACTAAATTGGTCTTTATGTGTCGTCTGCGTGTCCACTTCAAGATAGTTCGAACCTGAACGCTGATTGAAGAAACGTTGTCGATAAGACACCGTCTTGACACACAGGTGTTAGTCTATCATATCAGTACAGATCCGATCTGCTCACATTTATTGATTTCTTTAAGATCCGGATCAGAATCGATGGTCTTTGATCACCCATGCATAACGTGACCAGTGACTGGATCGATTGTTCAGATCCGCTGCCATCGTTAAAACTAATGCATATCAGTTTCTCCCATTTGCTTTGACAGATACTCATGCTATCAATCACTGGTCCAGATCCGAATAGTTTCAGCTTGCCGTCAAATAGACTGACTGAGTTTTGGTTTTACGCCGCTTTTAGCAATATTCCAGCAACATCACGGCGGGGGACACCAGAAATGGGCTTCACACATTGTACCCATGTGGGGACTCGAACCCGGGTCCTCGGCTAGACGAGCCAACGCTTTAACCACTAGGCTACCCCACCGCCCCCTGTCAAATAGATGGAATGTTGCTAACTATGGCGTTATTAACAAACAAAAACTAAAGCAAAGCAATATCTTGCAATGAACCTCTTTAACCCGTTCACTGCTCATCACGTCCGCCGGCAGACGCTGTGACCACTAGACCACGGAGGTGGTTGAGTCTACTTAAGAGTACAAAAGATTATATCGGCTTTCATTGTCATTACCTTTACAACGACAACTATTCTTAGAACTTCATCTTAAACACTTACTTTGTCTACAGGCGTAAGAAGTCATTCGTCTAAGCATGGCAAACGACCACCATATTCGTCTACAGAAGAGGCATTTTTGCGGGGGGCCAGGTAGGTCGCCATGCCCGATGGTTCCACACTTGTTATGCATTTTTTCATGTTGATCTTCAAGCGTTAAAATATCACTAGCACTTTTTACAAAAAAAACTCCACTAAGTGTATTTTATAACTATTATTAAAGAAAAGGATATAAACACACACACACACACACACACACACACACACCCCGTTCAAAGTAAAAGAATTTTAACTCCATGACCGCTGTCTTCTTGTGTAGTGAGCATGTCAAGTTCAAATACAGCGTTGCACATTTTTGTAATGACGATGATGATGATGATGATGATGATGATGATGATGATGATGATGTAGAGTCGGATCCTGTTCTCCTTCCCTCAGAGCTCTCTCGGCGCCTATCAACTACGAAGAGTACTTAAAAGCACCCTTCGTGAACGACTTCGACGCCTTGTTTGGCGAGGCCGAACCTGAGCCGACGGGGGAGAGGTACGTGGTGTTCGAGGACAGCTCCGATGACGATAACACAGAGACCGACGTCCGCAACATGGAGGGGAGGTTGAGGATGTCGCTGCAGCAGATGAAAGAACAGGTTCTTGGAACGGTGAGTGTTCACGGTTCATGGGTACAATGTCTACTATGAAATATGCATGTCGACTGTTGAGGGACTCAGATGTGAGAAACTGGGTAGTGCCATCATTATTTGAAGCATAAAGTCGCACACACGCACGAGCACACACAAACATCACAAAACTCCTATTACAATATAAAGATTATAAATTATCATAGTGAATGATATGAGAACGTTTTAATTCTCCTAAATTGCAATCGTGTTAAAATTATGTTTACTAATTATACCAATTTGTCAACTGTGGATTTGTATAAAATGAAAACTATTACTGTTTCGGTAAACTGTAAACTCGAGATTTTGCTTGTCTTGGGAACTACTTCACAACGCAAAACATAACACGCCTGCCAGTTGGATAGGATGATTTTCAATACACCATTCTCATTCCTCGTTCTCAAACTAACAGAGGCCGATCAAGTTCCTGGTTCCTGCTCATCTGATAACATTAAATTCCCAATGATGCATTAGTAGCGTCTGTTTTCGAACTGTTTCTTCCGTGTAATTTTCTGCTACACGAAAGACAGAAGACACTGTTTAGACACATGTCATCACGTTTTGATAGATGTAAAATTGCTGAGACCAAAGAGGAAGAAATTTGGGCCACAAAAAGACTTATTTGTCCGTCAGGTTTCGCCCATACACATGCATGACGATACGTGTGAGGGACTATAAGTATTTGTGTTCCAGCTCTCGGGGATGGAGGCATTCCGGTCGTTCCTGTACGACACGGCAGGTCTGAGTCTGCTGAACTTCTGGCTGGACTGTGAGTTCTACAAGGACGCCATGCAGGACGAGGATGAGGACACCTCTCTGGAGACCAGGAACAGGTTGTTTAGGTGGGGACTCGTGGTGAATGCATAAACACAAGATCTATATATACTATCCACAAGATCTATATATACCATCCACAAGATCTATATATACCATCCACAAGATCTATATATACCATCCACAAGATCTATATATACTATCCACAAGAACTTAAAGAACACCAGATAGGGCGTTCCTTGACTTCGTTTCAGTAGCAGATATAACGATAGAAGACCCCGCATCTAGCAATATCCAAGCTATATGGCGGATGTCAGTAAATAATCGAACCTTGCCTGATAATTCAGTGATTGACATAATGAGCGTCGATCTACGTAGTTAGCATCCGGTATGCATTAGTCGAATCTATTGGTCTGGGCCTAGATTTTCGAAGCTCTCTTAGCGCTAAGATAGTCGTAAGTTAACGTTAATGTATGGTACTTACGACTATCTTAGCGCTAAGAGACCTTCGAAAATCTAGGCCCTGGTCACTAGTTCGTTGCCTCTTACCTATCGACTAGGCGACTAATGGGATCGTGTGGTCAGGCTCGCTGACCTGGTTCACACAAGTCATCGTGTCCGCATTGTGTAGGTCGATGCTCATGCTGTTGATCACTGGATTGTCTGATCCAGAATCGATTAATTACAGACCGCCGCCATATTGCTGGAATACTGCAGAGTGCAGCGTTAAACAACAAACCAACCAACCTTACGACAAGGATGGTTTGCTGAAGATAAATTCTAAGCCGAGTCCTTTCGAGAGGTATAAGATATGAAATATCTATTCCAGAGACATCCAGGACAAGTATAAGCTGAACCTGACCCAAGATGCCCGAAACAACATCAGCAAGTCCGCCTCCAGCGTCGGCCTCAGTCACACCATCTTCCTTCGTACCCAGTACGACGTCCTGCGACGGCTGCGGGCTTACTGGGTGCCACGGTTCTTGCTGCATCACGAGAGGATGGAGCCGTTCAGGTAGTCACTTACATTTGGCATGTTTGGTTGTACGTGACAGCATCATAACAAGCTGTATTACAGAGGTCTCTAAACAACTGCATCAAACACATGGTTGATCTCATGGACGACGGTTAAATCGGAAGGTCGGAGCAAGCCCTGATCGTGATCAGTTTTGCGCTCAGTTTTGACTGGGTCGTAAATTAGTTAGCTATAAGCAGGAAAAGACTCTAAAGTGTTATGTCAGATATATTGTCAATGTCATTGGACTCAGATTATGTGTGTCGCTTAATACTATGCTCGAGGGTTACACCATGGTGGTTATCGTTTAACACCTACATGACGTGTATGCTGTGGAATATCGATATACTGTACAAAAGCCAAACTAACTCTCTCACACAGCTACACGAAGCAGGATCCGCAGACTGTGATGTGGAGCATCAAGAAGACCATGCCAAAGAACCCCGTGCCTTTCTTCCCATCAATCTCCTTGGTGAGGTCAATGCCTCTGCGTCCTGACGACGCGCTGTCGTCGTCCTTGACCTCCAACTGGGACACCGTCACCAAGGCCAACACAAGTAGAGACATCATGTCTGTGCAAGGGAGACGACCGTCGTCGCTTGTCAGACATAATGGGTAAGTCTCAAATTGTAACAGATTACGCTTCTTCACATATAGGACTTGTTTCTCTTGACCCACCTCTTACAAAATCATCAACATTTTAGCTCCCCTGACAGAAAATAAGAAATAGCCTTGTGTCTCCGTTCATGCTTGACCACAGTGAGTGTGGCAACAGGTCTTCACTTGACACAGAATGAAATTGTTTTAACAAATTTGTATTCTTCTAAAAGCCCAAGAAATATATAGAAAGTGGGCGCAATCTGTCCAATTAGTTGCCTTGCAATGTGTTTTGTCTCGATTCTTGCAGCTTATGTTGCTTCAGGTAAGACTGAATGATTGAATCAATTCACCTTGCACTCTATATAACTCTTAAACACACTAACGTGTTCATGTTCAGATTCACAAAACTAATATCAAACGTTTTTCATAGGTTAAATACTACCATTTACACTTTTTGTATTATTCCTATCTTATACTCACACTTCCGGAGTCGAAGGCCATTGCTCGAAACAGACAATAAACGGGTGGTGGGTGTATTCTAGCACACTGGGTACATGTTAGTGTTTGTAACGTGCCAAGCTTTGAATACGTTGAATTCAGCTGAAAAAAGAAAATTTGGTTGAAATGTATATGATATACCTTTAAAAATAGAACACACGAAGAAACCCAGCTTACTAGACATTGTGTCGCGTGTAGAGAGACTGACAGGCGCACGTGAAGATGGCGTTTGGGTGACATTCGTGCACATTCTCCACACACGTTCGTGAACACTGCCACATGTAGTATGCAAACTAAGATTTCTCGCACTATTTAAACTTTTCTTTTTGCAAGTAGTTGATATATATATATGTGTGTTTATATTTCTAACCCTCCTACTCATACAATCACGCACCGTAACATTGACCCCTCACTAACACGTTTACTTGTCACTATGTGCATCAGTAGGGCGGAGGGTACCCTAGAGGTATAGCGTTCGCTCGTCACGCCTAAAACCCGGGTTTGATTCCTCACATGGGTTCAGTGTAAGAAGCCCATTTCAGATGTTACCCACCATAATGTTAATAAAGCTTGCTAAAAGCGGCGTAAAGCCATACTCACTCACTCACTCACTCAACAGAGGGGTTCTTTAAAGGTCACATGCAACGTAAAACACAACTTTGCAGATTCTGATACCTTTCGGTATGGACTTACCAAAACAAATCGTCAAAAAATGCAAATTCAACTTATAAAGTTGAAAAATAACGCGATGAAAAAAAACGCGCGAAATCGGAGTTCAAAGTTTCACTAATTTTCCCCAGACTTTTCTGGGGAAAACGGGTTTCAACAGCTGGGCTGCGCTCATAGCACGTGCGCAGTGAAATAGGTTCGCGCAACTTGGAAGCGGGTTGTCGGGTGAATACTCGGTGAAGGCTTTGGTGTGAGCTATTTTTCTAATGTTTTGTTGATATCTCACAGGCGCGAGCTTTTTATATGTTATGACAGTAAATCAGCTGTTTATATAATTTCACCACACGTTCTTCTTACCGAGTCACTTTCACAGTTCGATACTTAAAAGCAATGTCATTATTTAGCGTTGACAGAATTTCTAACTGTGATATAGATATGTCGTTGTCACAGACAAAACTCAATGTCTTGTTTTATTGACATCTGTGTGTCTGCCTGCCTGTCTGCTAATGACAATATTCAATACACATCTGCTATCACTGACCACATGCAATTTGAACTTAACACCAATCAGGCTATACACCATAAACAAAATGCATTGATTTTTATGGCCCGAGTTCGGTCTCTGTCACATTATGTAATTACACAGACAGGCAGGTGTGATAGTTGAACACATGACATGTTATGATGTCGGTTGATTGCAAAATGTTATACACAAAAAATGAGCATGTATTTACAAAACCCAACATCTCTATATATACACCTACAATGAGCCGTGAAGGCGGCATCTGCTAATGCAGCCGTTACACTTGAGTGCACACCCACCCGCTCTGACTGGGTTCGGTATCCCGGCTGCTTCGTTTCGAGGGAGGTAAACCCAAGTACAAAATATTGCACTTTTGATTTGCGATTATACGCTTATAATTTTGTTTATTTGTTTTTTCATAATCAGCAATGCATATTATATGTCATGAAGAAGTGATAATTGTGTTTTAATTATGTTTGATTTTTTGGTTGCATGTGACCTTTAATGCAGGATAAACTGGGAAGATATACCACACAAAATAAGTTAAAGAACACGCAACTCTTTGTTATCAATATAGAACAGTTATATAGATCTACGTCATGCCTTTTTTAGTTTAGTCCGTTTGTCGCCAAATGAAAACGACGATTGCACACAGCGTTAACATTGCGGGATGTTGAATAGCAGTAAATGAATCCCTAGGTCGGGTAACAGTGGTGACATGGCTGCGTTGCGCTACCAAAGTCGTCAACGAGACGAAAGATACTGGTCACGTGATGGACTTCAGCAAGCAACAGTCCCACGTATAGTTGTGACCATCAGCAGTTACAGAAGCAGTTTTAAAGAAGAGTGCTGTGACATAAGCGAGTCAGACTGCGACAAAAATTATTATGAGATGACCTTTCTTTGTCTGTCATTACCTGTACCGTTGTGTAAAATCTCAACTTTTACACATGACACGATGGTTTCTTGAAGACCTGTTTCCCGTGATTGCTATAAAATCATAAACAGCAGACATTGTTGGGTACAGGGTATTCTTTGCCATGTATCGTACTGACATTTACTAGACTATTCCTGTGATCACTTTGTCAGTTACAGCTTATAGCTTTCCGGAATTCAATCCAATACATGACACAACACTCAGTTCTGGCCATGTGCTGTAGGCATCCGTTTTTTAATGAGAGTTATCTCCCCTGGTTACATGTGACATTAGGATTCATATGCGGAAAAGGATTGGTAATACATGACAATTCCCTGTTTGGAGTTAGTTATTTTGCAATTCATCGTTCTCACTGGAGACTGTCTGACTAGAGTATATTGTATAAATAATAGTTCCAACGTTTGGATGTATTGTATCTATATATGTACTTGCCCACTTAGTTGCGCTATCTGCATTAACAGGCATGCTAGTTTTAATCAACTTAAGAGGTTCTACAAGTAAACTGAATATGGAACATGCTCGTATCTCCACTCCGTGAATAACCGAGCTGCGTCCATATGTTGTCAACAAATTATATAAGAAATTCTTCAAAGGCATTTGGAAGTTGGTGTAGTAATACAAGACAAATTTTGTGGATAACAACTTCGTTATTTGTTTTTCCTTTCTCATGTCATGTCGTGACATTTCGTATCCGATAGCATGAGGAATTAAGCAATGTACACACCCTTTCCAAACCATGTATTATAGTTTAAGAAACTCCTCTTCATGTCTGTTGTGGGGTGGTGGGGTAGCCTAGTGGGTAAGGCGTTCACTCGTCACGCCGAAGACCCGGATTGGATTCCCCACATGGCCACAATTTGTGAAGCCCATTTCTGGTGTCCCCCGCCGTGATAATGCTGGAATATTGCTAAAAGCGGCGTAAAACCAAACTCATTCATGTCTGTTGTTGCTATCCAGGCCCACGAAGGAACGGTTCCTCTTGGCGCTTAGTGCGGACCGACTAGCCGGCGGACCTTTCCAGAAATATCTTGAAAAGTAAGACACAGCATTTTGTATAAAATATTTCTTTGGATCTTACCTGAACAATCCTATGGGCTACCTGGCACATGCTTTCAATCATTAGTTCACATACATGGACCATTTAGAAGTTTTAATATTTATCGACCCGTAAAGATCAGGATTAGAATTGGTCTTCAGCAATCCATGCTTGTCGTAACGGGATCTGGTGGTCATCCTGCTGACTGGGTCGACACATGTCATTGTATCCCAGTTGCATAGATCGATGCTCATGCAACAACGGTGGGGAAGCCTGATGGTTAAAGCGTCCGCTCGTTACGCCAAAGACCCAGGTTCGATTCCCCACATGGGTAAAATGTGTGAAGCCCATTTCTGGTGTCCCACGCCGTGATATTGCTGGAATATTGCTAAAACACAACTCACTCACTCATGCAACAACAAACAAGACAAATTAAAATTTATCTCTGTGAGTGCGTGTAGTCCTGTAGTCTATAGTGTGAGTGTGTGCACAAGGGGCGGGGACCAGTCGTTGCTGTCGAACCTGTTGTTCTGGGAGGATGTCACGGAATACGGCGCAACCGAGGACAAGTCTGCAGACCGACTTCTTCGACTGCAGCACGCATGGGCCATCTTCAACAAGTTCCTGGCGCACGACAGTCCGTACTACGTCGGTATGTGTCACAAGTTGTAGTCTGTAGTTTGTGAAGATTTAGTTCCAGATTAAGTCACTAAGTGTATTATTGAGTCCATTATATACGTTCGTTTTACAATATTGCGTAACATATATACCATACCCATTGTGTGAGGGACTAAAACATAAGGAATTCTGGTAGATATGACGTTAAGGTTTACCGTGACTGGGTGACAATACAGTATAGCATGTATCTTTGGTGTGTATGATGAATTATGGCATGGGGGAAATATAAGGAATTTCTGGTAGATATGACGTTAAGGTTTACCATGACTGGGTGACAATACAGTATAGCATGTATCTTTGGTGTGTATGATGAAGTATGGCATGGGGGTAATATAAGGAATTTCTGGTAGATATGACGTTAAGGTTTACCATGACTGGGTGACAATACAGTATAGCATGTATCTTTGGTGTGTATGATGAAGTATGGCATGGGGGTAATATAAGGAATTTCTGGTAGATATGACGTTAAGGGTTACCATGACTGGGTGACAATACAGTATAGCATGTATCTTTGGTGTGTATGATGAATTATGGCATGGGGGAAATATAAGGAATTTCTGGTAGATATGACGTTAAGGTTTACCATGACTGGGTGACAATACAGTATAGCATGTATCTTTGGTGTGTATGATGAAGTATGGCATGGGGGTAATATAAGGAATTTCTGGTAGATATGACGTTAAGGTTTACCATGACTGGGTGACAATACAGTATAGCATGTATCTTTGGTGTGTATGATGAAGTATGGCATGGGGGTAATATAAGGAATTTCTGGTAGATATGACGTTAAGGTTTACCATGACTGGGTGACAATACAGTATAGCATGTATCTTTGGTGTGTATGATGAAGTATGGCATGGGGGTAATATAAGGAATTTCTTGTAGATATGACGTTAAGGTTTACCATGACTGGGTGATAATACAGTATAGCATGTATCTTTGGTGTGTATGATGAAGTATGGCATGGGGGAAATATAAGGAATTTCTTGTAGATATGACGTTAAGGTTTACCATGACTGGGTGATAATACAGTATAGCATGTATCTTTGGTGTGTATGATGAAGTATGGCATGGGGGAAATATAAGGAATTTCTGGTAGATATGACGTTAAGGTTTACCATGGGTCGTTAGTACGACAGTATCACATGAAACCAGTGCAGATGGCGTAGTTAGAGGGGAAGGAAGGAAGAAGAAAGACTTGCATAGACAAGGATTTTTTACAAATTTGAGTGGCCTGACACTGACAGGAGCATCTATCAAACACGGAACTCACCCCAACCAGGGTTATATTGTACGATACGTCACATCTTCCTTGTTTCTGGGTCTCCAGGTCTTCCCGACTCTATACGAGATCGCATCCACCAGAGCCTCCTAGAGGCTCGGGACTTCGTGGAGGCTTCCATCTACGACTCCGCCAAATACCAGGCTGTGGACCGTCTAGAGAAGGCCTGGATCAGGTTCCTGAAGGAGGATCTCAAGACTTTCCTAGAGTGAGATCCATCACTGTCCTTATATTGCTTACTTTGTAACGATGTGCACAGTGCATAATACTAGTTGTAATCAACGTTGCCATGAGGGCGCGTAAGAGAACGTTTCCTTAAAATCTGACCGTCTATTTCGGTTAGGGATGATTTCGGTACTTCAAACATCACAGGGTGGAAGCGCTGTCCACACGAAATGTGGAGTTGCCCCAAAAGCAACTCCATTTCCTCGCTGGACAGTGAAAGAAGAACACGTGGCACAAGAGTCAAGGTAGTTTTTTCCTCGCATTTCATTATTTCGCAAGTATAGATCAGGTTTTGCCATTTGGCAGAGGGGTCTAGAAAGTTACAGATCTGTCTGTAATAGCTTGACACCCTCTATATTTATTTACTCTTGCGCCACGTGTTCTTTTTTCATTGTCCAGCGAGGAAATGGAGTTGCTTTTGGGGCAACTCCACATTTCGTGTGGACAGCGCTTCCACTCTTTGAACATATTCGGGATTTTCAACAAATCATTTTGTAAGTATTATAAGTTATTAGTATGTATTCTCTAACAAACGATGATCACAAACAGTAATCATTGGCTTCTCGGTACTGTTTGGAATGATTTACATCTCATACACAGATAACTGGATGGATTATTTGCAAAGAAATAATGCTGTTTAGTCCTTTCTCTGCCACGTGGAGTTTCTGGGAAATAATACCCCTCTGTGTCCCTCGCTTGCCTTCTAAGTTGGAATCTGTGTTCCGATCTCATGGCGTGGACTATTGTGTCACTTTTTTGTCTAGTAACAGTCTGTTTTAAGACCATTGTAAAATGCCTAGATGATTTCATACTGCTGGGTAATGCACCATTCATAAACCCCTCATTCCTATGTTCCCTCGCTAGTTGCCGAGTGCGTCCTGACGCAGACAGCCCTCCTAGCACCGCCGACGCCATTGAGATCACCGTCACCGACACGGAAGTGGTCATCAAACGACCTCGACCTTGGGTTAGAAGGTAAACAAACACGTTCTATCCTATAACATCCGCACTGAGGATTTATTGCCCGCACTGCTCGGTCTGACCCTTGATGAAGACCTGTGTGACGGGCTCGTGGTGGTAGAATCTAAAACAGGCACCGCTTTTATACGCACAGCTTTGTCGTGAGTATGTACCCATGTTAACGGTGTGGACCGATTGATGTAGTTTGGTTACTAATTCATCCGAAGGAAACACCTGGTGTTTAGTACTTTTATGTCTTAGTGGTAAATATTTACGAACTGTTTATTGTTTATGTTGATAATCACCGAAAGATCATCCCTGCTCTTCAGCATCTCATGTTTGTCGTAAGAGGCGACTAAGGGGATCGGATGGCCATACGCGCTGACTCGGCCGATGCATGTCATCGTATTCTGACTGCGTCGGTGAATGCTCATGATGTCGATCACTAGGTCTCTGGCCCAGACTCAATCATCTACTGACCGCCGTAATATAGCTGGAATATTACTGAATGCGGCTTTAAACAACAAACAAAATGTATATACTTTTATACTTTAATGCATTTTGTATAAACATAATTTGTTGTAAGTGAAAAAATAATAATTTCCAAACCGGTTCTTTAAGCGCCCATGTTCTAACTAACCGCATGTTATGAAACGTTGATGTACCCTACATACTTCAACTAGTGTCTCCAACAATCTGATGTCAGTTTCACCATGCATGGTCTGGAGTGTTTCTTTTCCCTTACTGGTAATACTTGTTAACACAATTCCTATTTGCATGACTTAAGTCGTGGATAGTTTCTCACCAAACTAGAATTACTTTAAACTTCACCACGCATGCTGTATATCCAGACTGTTTAATTATTTTCCAGGCTGTTTAATTATGTTTTATTTCGCCTACTCATTGTATTGAATCTACACGACCGATATTCGATCACCTTTATGTTGTTCTCGGGATACCAATGACTGTTACGATAGAGCACTTGGTCTCGTTCCACAAAGCGGTCTTATATCCTTATCTCTATGACACCTTTGACAACGATACGATACATCTCCTCGTCAAAAGAAGTATTTCTGTTAACACTGACCACTGACAATCCGTTTATGGGTCGGCTTGCTACCGAAGACCTTCGAAAATCGTAACAATCTTACTTGACGCTTAGACTCAGTGATCGTAGGCCTACCAGTACTGAAATCACTATATGCAGCAGGCTCAATTCATCAACGATGCAGCTTTCGTGTTACAACAATTTTGTCAATGTTTTGATATAGAACTATGACAATGTAGATGTTTCAAAGAGTGTCCATAGCCAGGGGATATTTTGCCACAGATTCGAACATGTCAGAATAAGTTTATGATAAAAAGTATTTAAAAATCACCTGACCCAAGTTTCGTCATGCAGTATTTTATGTACATGTACATACAAATATCAAACGTTGGTATTTGTAATATTTAAAGGAAGCCATCGATCGATACCCAAAATCTTGAAAAGTTGTGCTTGAAAACGACACCCGTAATATAATAACCAGCTGATTTTAAAGTTGAGACAAATGTGCAGTCTCATTAATAACATACCCAAGTGCTCACTGATTGAAAAACTCTGCAAAAAAAACAACAAGCACGAGTCATTTGTGTTGAAGCAGCGCTTGGAATGAGCGTTTGATGGCTACCTTTAGAGGGAACAACTATACGTATGGACTGCAGGTTGGCATGGTGTTTTAAACCGGTGCCAGCCTTTTGTGTTTCCGTGTATCTGATGTCATGCCTTCGTTTCCTTCCCTAGACTCCAGCCTCTCAGGTAACTGTGTGACGTTGTACTCCAGGTTGGGAGTGGCTTGTCTGTGTGTAACCCAGTGATGCAGTTGTTATCACGTGTCCCATCACTTCTGTCTTTATTTGTTATACACTGTTCAGTTTTTCATGCACGTTTTCAGTTGATCAGAAATAACATGAACATTTTTTTATTCTGCTGTTCAGAAACATTCTCACTCACGATAATCGGTTTTCTGGCAAATGTTGATAAAGGGCAACTGGCAAACTTCGTAAACGACATCTTAGTAGTTGAAGATTGATGAAAAACAAGATATATATTATAGATTTTGAAATATTTTTGATAGACAATTATAATTACCCTATTGAAGTAGGAACTGCTCATATTTAATCCAGGCTATTATATTTCAAATTTCCGAAAAGGTACTACCATTCGCATCCCACTGCTTTGAAATATTGCCCCAAAGCCTGTATAACAAGTCGTATTCGTATTCAACACTGCGTCTATAAGAATGTAAACATATGATATATTGTTCATAACAATATTTATTCATTGTATCAAAGTGTGTTTTACATTTTTTTCTCAATGTGTATTCCTTAACTGACAAACGGTACTTGTGGTTCAAAACTTACATGGGGTGGCCAAGTGGTTAGAGTGTTCGCTCGTTGTGCTGAACACGGGTTCTATTTCGACGATGTAAAGCTCCACTAAATCATTATATATTTGCAGAATATATTTACCTAATCTACTGTATGAAGCTTGTTAAAATTTTGTGGTTGTTTCTCATGATCTGCCCGTGCCTGTATTTTCATATATAATATTATATATATAAACTCTGTCAAAAAAGAAACGCAACCCCTGTCCTCAGATATGAAAAATTCGTTTGAATGAAGTTATTGCTTCCAAACTAAATTTTATTCGAATGTATTGAAATGATACACGTAATTAATGAAGATTACCATCCAAACAACTGCATTTGTACGCATAAGTGTATTTTATTGCTTATTCCGTCACAACGCATGAAATGACCCTCATGGTGACTTCGCACAAAAAAAAAAAACACATGCAAATCATGAAAATGGCAGTTAATGTAGGGGTGTATAAAAGCCCATGTGCTTCCGTATTATATTCATTCATTTGTCGCCGAAAAGCTGTGTTAAAAATGCCACGATTGAGTGCTGCCGACCGAAATATCGCCATTGGTCGTGTTCAAGCCGGAGAAAGTTTTGGAACTGTTGCACGGCACCTAAATGTTCACAAAACAACGATATCCCGACTTTGGAGCCGCTACAACAACTTCAATTTGACCAACGATCGCCCGAGAAGTGGAAGGCCAAGAATCACGACCCCTTCAAGATCGGTACATCCGGGTCCATCACCTGCGTAATCGGCATGCCCTACCAACCGTGACTGCCACACAAATACCAGGTTTGAGGAGAGTGTCAGCTCAAACGATTAGGAACCGTCTGAAAGAAGCGGGTTTACGTGCCTGTAGACCAGTTGTTGGACCTGTACTACGCCCCTACATCGACGCCGACGACTCAGGTGGTGCAACAACGTAAGGATACGGACTTTACAAAACTGGAGGCGAATCTGGTTTTCTGATGAATCACGTTTTCTTTTGCAACGTCACGACGGAAGACAGCGTCTGTATAGGAGACGTCATAAACGTTTTGCGCCCATCTGCGTCCGACAGGTGGACAGATTTGGCGGAGAAAGCGTCATGGTTTTGGGAACCATCTCATACAACCAGAAATCAGACTTGGTGATCGTTCCAGGGAACCTGACAGCCCAACGTTACATCAACCACGTGTTAGAGCTTCACCTTCTCCCGATTCTTGACCAACAGACACAGATTTTTCAACGGGACAACGCCCGGCCTCATACTGCACGTGCAACAATGAACTTTCTGCAGACTTCCAACGTCAATGTCTTGCCATGACCCTCTAAATCACCAGACCTCAACCCTATTGAACACCTGTGGGATACTCTGGATCGACGCGTACGTCAACGTCAGCCGCCGCCACAGACGCTGCAACAGCTCGCCGTTGCACTGCAGGAGGAGTGGAGAGCCATTCCCCAGGAAAGAATCCGGCGTCTTATCCGTTCTTGTCCAAGGAGATGCCGTGCAGTGATTGCAGCGCGTGGTGCTCATACGAAATACTGAGAAAGACGCCCCCCTGGTGACAAACTGGTGTCTGTGAGATGACTTTTGAAATGACAATTTTAAACATGCCCATTTGGGTTATTATTCTGCCAAATTTCAGACTTCTGTCTTAAATAATAAAAATGCCGTGTCGTCCTAAAACTTCAGATCAAAATCTCTAAAATACAGAGGTTGCGTTTCTTTTTTGACAGAGTTTATATACTTTAAGTCCAAATAAGAACCGTATTTTCGACTCGAAGCTCGTTTTGCACTGATGTCCGACTATTTTGTACACATAATGTTATTCAGAGTGTGTCATATTCACAGAGAAATCTAACTTTGGTAATCAAGGCATGTGACCCCTGTCTTGACACTTCTTGCCCCTAAAGGGCGTGGCCAAAGGAGGTCACTAGTTCACAAGAATACAATTATCTATAAATCCATTAAAACATAATTTCAGAACCAAATTCCAGACAGAAAAACCAGGCATGAGAAACAAGAATATTATTTTAACTAACCTCGGGTTAAGGTTTAAGTGTGTGAAGGTGTATAAGATGCTAGGGCTATGACGTAGTGTGTGTGTCCAGTGTTAGGTAGACTGTTTTTCCACTGTGGAGTGCATGTGTTTGAATCCCTACTAATCTTTCGTTTCCCTCAGTACGTCTTTCTGTGCTACCTCCACACATCGTCAATACTTCACGGGTTCCAATACACATCCTTCCTACATTAGTACACACGCGTTGGTTTGAAGTCGCGACTGATATCTGGCGTTTCCTTTTTAAGGATTTCACCCCAAAGCTGACATTTGTTTTCCCGGGGGACCCATGAAGTACAGGCGATGCCTTCATAGAGATGCGATACCTGCATGTTTCAGTTGAATATCTTCCTACTCGCCAGCTTGCTGATTAAGTCTTCATCTGAAACTATTTTCAATTTCATTTACATGTAATCTGAACTTATATCAGCACATCTTAAAGTAGTTTCATGTAAATCTTTTGTTCAGATGGCAGTGTTTTAGTGTAAGCATGGTGCGCAAATACAATAACAGATATTGAACATACGTCTGTCTAATATGAAAGGCCCTGATTAGAACAGGGTATAAAAGTGTGTTTAAGGGAGCCCTCAACCTTACATGATATGGTGTTGAAGGGTCCCGGGGTCAACGGCATCTGAGCGGGCACGACGACTACAGCGTGCTTTGACCTTGGCAGAAGACATCGACTTCGAGAGGAGGGCATTGAATAAAAAGTTACGTATTGAACGTCGCAAGGAGATGGAGAAGGAACGGAAGAAGGCCGTTAAGGCTGCATACGCCAGGCAGAAAGAGGCTAAACTAAAGAAAGGGTCCAAGGTGAGGGTTAAACACATGCTGTATACCAAAGTCGGTATTACCTTTTGGGTAGGAATGAATATTAGAGGTCTAGGCGGCGCCGATGTTTCTTGTGCAGAGTTGCTTCCCCTGCCCAGGGATCCGCTAGTTCGTGTTCCAGATTCATCTCTGCAATATATTGTGGTTTGTCAGCGCCAGCAGGTACTAGTGGTTTCAACAATGAGGCAGCTGTCGTCACTTCAGGTTTTCTTACCACAAGAAGCTGACACGTGGTGATCAGTCTAAGTAAACTTAGGCTTATTATTGTTCGTTAAACTGTTATACTGAACTGAGCCAGTCTAAGTAAACCTAAGTTTACTTAGACTACGTGGTGATGGGATTAAAATATTGTTGTACTGAAATATTGTACATTGATCACGGTACTTGCAACAGATGACCTTATCAAAACAATGTGTCTTTGTCGTCATTAAAACTTCACATGACGAATCTACAGGCGCATACTTCCATACCATGCTGGCTTATATATGTCTTGTATAAACTTACTAACATAAAGCTAAAGCGTGTGTGCATGCAATTTCTAGTAATACTCTCTCTTTGAGGAGTCGGATTTGTATGTCGATGAATACGGTAACCTGTGTGTACACGGCTCATATACCACAGAGCTTATACAGTCGTGCAGCGCACTTCCTCTGGTACACCATCAGCCCTCGTGTTAACATTTTGTTCCAGGGAAAATAATCATAATCTATATTCGTGACATTTTATTTATGTTTTATCACGAAAGGTGCAAGTTTTTATTTAAAGATTTTACTAAACTGGGGATAATTTCCAGACAAATATTCATGGATTAATGGCGGCCTTTTCTCCCCAACTCCACTAACGTATAAATATTACGATTTCCCCGACCATTCTGCAGCCAGCCATTACATCATGCCCACCAGTACATTAGTCAATCATATTATGCAACGTAAGAATCGATTTATCAGCAAACACTTTGCTACAGTCTGATTTTAGCGACGACGAGTCAGAGCGTTCTAGAAGCCGATTTGTGAGTTGATTGTTCGGCCATGCCACTTCTAGAAAACTGCAGATTACACTGAATCACAGTTGTATTACATCCACCTCTAGAATCTGGAGCTGTCCTATATCTTGCTATGAAAACTTCAACTAACCAAATTTAAATCCTTCATTCTGTTCGTTTTTTCATTATTCTATATCGTTTATGTATTTTCGATGACTCGTTTTTTTGCTTAAGTTGACAAGGTTTTTTATTATAGTTTCATTTTGTTCATTTTGCCTTGTTCGCTTATAATTTGAATCTTTTATCGCTGTAATGTATGTCTCGGTCATTGAACCAGACCCTGGCTATTTGATGTGATGTGAGTCTGCATCAAGTACTTGTCCAGCGCTTCTTCTGTGACATCAAGCTACTAACAGCATGACATTCCAGGCAGCTTATTTGATGTTCAATCTATATTTATTTAAATTCCAGCTATTTTTTAAAAACATTTCAACATGTTTTCTGTATATGTATTATCAAATTTGTGGGATTCACGAAGATGTCAACCATCGGGTGTCATTTTAGACTTGTCGTGTAATAACAGGTATATCATTCAAAGGGAAAGTAATACAAAGTTATTATCATATTTTAACATCACAAAGTCATCATCATACAATGTGTGGATACATTTAATGTTGTGTCCCATCAATCGTTAAGTAGGATTCATTTTTGTATATCTTTCAGTCATTACAAATAACATTTGTTTTGCCAAAGCCAGAGAATAACAATCTCGATTGTCAGTAATAACAGATTCCATTGGATCATAGGAAATATGTGATAACACCATGTGTTAATTAATAAACACCATGTGTTAATTAAAAAATCACTGATCTTGTATTTAAAGGAATAACCAATAACATGCATCTTTTTACGAATGCCCTGAAAAGGGAATGAATTGAGCGAGTGTTCATTAGGTGGATCAAAATGGTGGCTGTTTTACATTTCATTGCATTCAGATTCGCTTTTTATGAGTATCGTTGTATAAAGAGTCCAATAGCAAAGCATAGTGTAGACCCAGTATTTCTTACGTTCACAATAGACCGTTTACTAGATAGTCTTATTCTTCTCTATATGTTAAGGGTATCTAGTCGTTCCTTGTAGATGTAATTCAGATTGGAAATGTGCGGTAATAAATATAGTACGGTAGGATATCTTTTCAAAACCAGTGCATCTAATGTTCTTAAATAAATGCCAACCCGTGAAGATCCGGGTTAGAATTTGCCTTCAGCAACCCATGTATGTTGTAAGAGGCGACTAACGTGATCGGGTGGTCAGACTCGCGGACTTGGTTGACAAATGTCATCGTGTACCAATTGCGTAGATTGATGCTCATGCTATTGATCACTGGATTGTCTTGCCAAGACTCTATTATCTACAGACCGCCGCCATATAGCTGGAATATTGCTGAGTGCGACGTTAACAGCAAACAAATCAAATATATGTCTCTCCGAAATGAATATGTAGAATTCTACACCATAAGTTTCGTGTCAAGAATCAGGATTCTGACTCTATTGAATTCTACACGATATGTTTCACATAATGTATCTTACACTTACATGTACTAATCCTTTAATCTTATTATAATGCAGGCATTTAAAATATTTTATTCATGACAGTTACTTTTAGCTAGAGACTGTCTCACTATTTTGCGATGGTGTTTTAATCTTCTGTTTCCAGTCTGGTGAGGGTGTTGACGGAATGATGGCAGGAGAAGGAGAGGACGGGATAGGGGTACTGCCCTCATATACAGACCTGCACTCAAACAGACAGTGAGTTATTATAATGCCCTCATATACAGACCTGCACTCAAACAGACAGTGAGTGAGTGAGTTTAGTTTTACGCCGCACTCAGCAATATTCCAGCTATATGGCGGCGGTCTGTAAATAATCGAGTCTGGACCAGATAATCCAGTGATCAACAGCATGAGCATCGATCTGCGCAATTGGGAACCGATGACATGTGTCAACCAAGTCAGCGAAACTGACCACCCGATCCCGTTAGTCGCCTCTTACGACAAGATAGTCGCCTTTTTATGGCAAGCACATGGGTTGCTGAAGACCTATTCTACCCCGGATCTTCACAGCGAGTTATAATAATGCCCTCTTATAAAGACCTGCACTCAGACAGTGAGTTGTTATAATGCCCTCATATACAGACCTGCACTCAAACAGACAGTGAGTTATTATAATGCACTCAGACAGTGAGTTATTATAATGCCCTCTTATACAGACCTGCACTCAGACAGCGAGTTATAATGCCCTCTTATACAGACCTGCACTCAGACAGCGAGTTATAATGTCCTCTTATACAGACCTGCACTCAGACAGTGAGTTATAATGCCCTCTTATACAGACCTGCACTTAGACAGACAGTGAGTTATTATAATGCCTTCTTATACAGACCTGCACTCAGACAGTGAGTTATTATAATGCCCTCTTATACAGACCTGCACTCAGACAGTGAGTTATTATAATGCCCTCTTATACAGACCTGCACTGAGACAGTGAGTTATTATAATGCCCTCTTATACAGACCTGCACTGAGACAGTGAGTTATTATAATGCCCTCTTATAGAGACCTGCACTCAGACAGACAATGAGTTATTATAATGCCCTCTTATACAGACCTGCACTTAGACAGCGAGTTATAATGCCCTCTTATACAGACCTGCACTCAGACAGTGAGTTATTATAATGCCCCCTTATACAGACCTGCACTCAGACAGTGAGTTATTATAATGCCCTCTTATACAGACCTGCACTCAGACAGTGAGTTATAATGCCCTCTTATACAGACCTGCACTTAGACAGCGAGTTATAATGCCCTCTTATACAGACCTGCACTCAGACATTGAGTTATTATAATGCCCCCTTATACAGACCTGCACTCAGACAGTGAGTTATTATAATGCCCTCTTATAGAGACCTGCACTCAGACAGACAATGAGTTATTATAATGCCCTCTTATAGAGACCTGCACTCAGACAGTGAGTGTCCTATTATGAAGGCAGTTTCTGTACTGCCCCCGTATGTAGACTTGCACTCGCTCAGTGAGTTGCTAACATGCACCACTCTTTAAGAATTCAGGATCAATGTTTGATCTCTGGTACACTTGATATTGATGTTAACTACGTGTCATAACCATGTGTTTAACCAGGATTTTGAATTTAACAAACCAACAGGTTCTTTTAAGTTTATTTCCATGATAAATGTTTTTTGTTTATTTAAAATAAAACGGGATATGTTAAATGTATGTATTAAAGGTGGTTAACGGGAACATCCATCACATGATATTAACAGTGACGTAATGATGTTCTTCCACTACATACTGTAAGCTGCTGCATCATGTGCTTCAGACTGATGGCGATGTTCAGGAAGTTCATCCAGGACGGTGATTCTAAAGAGTTGGCCCACTACCTGCCCCTCCACAATGACCTTGACACTTATTTTGACATGAAAGATAACAAACAGAAGAAAGACTCGCACGCTGGACATATATACAAGTAAGCTGATAGCGAGGGTCAGCATGTGCCATGGTCCTCTTTGTTGTCACACCTTCTCGGACAGCCTAGTTAGGTTAAATATGTGTGTTTTATATGAACGCCAGAATGAGTTTATTTGATGTTTAATGACAGCGCGATAGTGATGTTTTCTCCAATACAATATGGTGGACTAATTTCATGAAAACTATCAAGTATTTTGTAAGATTATGTGGTATCGTACAAAGCGAGATCTGTCCTTTATTAGTCAGCGTTTGCAAAATAAACTCGCCAAATATGAACGCGGCATACGCACTAACGTAAGTAATCGTAATTGTCGAACATAATTTTTTTATTCAGAATACTTTTACCGTGAAGTCGACTGTATCTGATATTCATTTGAATAATGGAACTATGAACGATTACTGAGCCAACGTTGAACATTTCCCCATCCTAAAATAAATGAACATTTCCCCCATCATTTCATCAATGGACATTTCCACATCATTTCATTAACGGACATTTCCACATCATTTCATCAATGGACATTTCCACATCATTTCACTAATGGACATTTCCACATCATTTCACTAACGGACATTTCCACATCATTTCATCAATTGACATTTCCACATCATTTCACTAACGGACATTTCCACATCATTACACCAGTGAATATTTCCACTTCATTAACTATATGTACATTGCCATTATATTACACTAATGAAAACATTTTCATGATTACATAAATGTGTCAACTTCGTGATTACATAAATGAATATGTTCGTGTCAACTTCGTGATTACATAAATGAATATTTCCATATCACTGCATCAATGGACATTTCCTCGTCACTACATCACTGAATTATCACGTCATGACACAATGAACATTTCTATGATGGACATACAACAGGACATATCTAGACGCTCAGAGTAAGAAGTTCGCTCCAATGCCTGAGAAGATCTCCACCAAGGTGGCGGGGGAGAAAGACAGGCCCAAGTCTCCCACATTAAAGGAAGTCCACAAGCACGTCCAGTCCAAGCTGGACGCGTTGTTCAAAGATTTTATTATGGTAAGTTTTCATGCGTTTATTTGGAAACAACAAACACACCATAAGTTTCAACGCCATCTTGAACAATATTTCAGTTATATGTCACCTTGACAGGTTGATAGCCGGGGAAAGCATTAAGTGATGCAGGTATTAGTGTTTACTAATTTGGTTAAATACATAAATACGATATGGTCCTGACAAACCAACTGTCTGGGCGAATCTGGGGTTCGAACTTCCAATAGTAGGTGTTTTGGCACGTCTTGTGGAAGTAGCTTTGGACAGAGAAATGTGCCATCTTGGACAATTTGGCCATCCCTGCATTGTCGGGTCTAGACTCAGTGGTCATATAGCTGGAATATTGCTGAGTGCAGCGAGTCTTGACCTGACAAGCAACTGTTTAAGATCGTAATCATCGAAATATGCAATTGGATACGGTGACATGTGTCAACCAAGTCAGCGAGCATAACCACCATATCCAATTAGTCGCTTCTTACGACAAGCATGGGTTGTTGAAGATCAATTCTAACCCGAATCTTCACGGGTTGATAGCGAGTGTGCTCGTGTGTACTCGAGTGCACTCGCTATCAGGGGGCAATGTTTCATACAACAAAACACGACTGCCTGTTGCAGTACCAAGCAGAGGAGTTCGGTGTAGACCCCAAAGACCTGGCGTCCATGTCCCAGGCTGAGCTGACCATGAGGATGGGGGCAGACACTGGGACGGCGTGGAAGAAGAAGAACAAGGGCAAGGTAGGAGGGAAGACAACTCGTGTTACAGTAATGGGTTATAGATTTCAATCAGACATAATAGGCAGGTAGTTGATTTTGCTTTTTAGTCACATTATACCTTTGAATCTTTCTTTTCTTAATTGCAAATATCGTTATTTTTTTCTTCTCAAACTTATTGCCATATTTTGTAGACTTGATTAACAAACCAATTATATTTTATTATTCAGTTATGTTTTATGAAGTTAAAAATGCAATGCTCTGATACAAAATACCCCTTTTCTTCTTGAGTAATCTTTCTGTCATATGACCTTTGTCCACACTGTTCGTCATTCACCAAGATGTAGTTGATGATCTCCAAAACATATAAAACAGGAACCAGAAGAGGAACAGAAACCGGACAAAGACAAAACTACACAAATAAGGGAGATAACTCTCGATTCTATCAAAGTACGCGTTTTCGAAGGGGGTCGTCGGCAGCAGCCAAAGTTAAGCGTAAATAAACCTTCGCTTAACGCAAGCGCAGATAAACGAAAAAGGTCCAGTTCAAAGGTACGCGAGCGGAGTGACACACAGCCAAGAGAACAGTTATCGAAGGTTGAGCGGGTAAACAGAGTGACGATGTGTCATAACAACTTTAACACTTGCAGTGACCCCCAGATATCCATACTGACCACATATGTGATGGATACATGTGTGATTGGAGTTTAATGAGTTTCGCATATATAGCACAAATGAACGCACGTGAGTTGACTAATAGTGTGTACACAACTGCATGTAAAAAGATACATTACACGTGGGGAACACATTGCAACTGATTGTGGATATGTGCGGCTTGTCTACGACGAATCATAACTTTGTTTACAATAAGAGTAACGGATAAACAGATGGCATGGTCAGCTAGTTTTATTGCCTTTAGTTAGGATAAAAGCCTTAAATTCTCCTCTATAACCACAAAATAATGCCACATTCAATTCTTAAACAAATACATTTACGTTGCGCCTAGTTTTGTAGCTGCATATATGTATTAGAAAATATGACCATCGTAATTGGATATTTCCCTCAAACATTAACACTTTGACAAAGAGTCTGTTTATTTACTTGCTCATGTAGCTTTAAGTTAATACTATCTACCATACGGAGACTCTCGTTTCCAGAGTAAGAACCTGTGCCAGTTACACACCCCACTGAAGATTACAACTATATATAGCACAAGACTTAAGCGCAGACTGGTTAAACCAGTCGTATCTGCTCCGATATTTAACACATCTACCAAGTAACCGTGTAAGTGTTCGTGTGATCCTAATTAACAATAAGCTGTATAATAACACTCTAACATATTTGCTATAGAGGAAGAATAATGACAATTATTATGGAGATACAACTTCTTTTATTCTGTGGAGGCGACGTTATGACATACGTTCTAATGTCGTTGTCAAGCACGACAACGACATTAGAACCTATGCCGAAACGTCGCCTACACAAAATAAACGAAGTTGTATCTCCATAATAATTGTCATTATTCTTCATCAACTCAACTTCAAAATGCCCATCAAAGAAGTCATATTTGCTATAACCATAATGAATTAGGATAGAATAAGATGGGTTCCCAGCATGTCTCGTCACAGTCGTCTCATTTCAATGTTCAATATTCTCTCTCTCACTCAGTAAAATAAGAATTTTAACAGACAGTCCATATGATCAATGATCGTGATGCCAAATGGGCTTCACTGTTCCTGCTGAAGCGTTCTGCATATCATCTGTGTTGAAATCCTTTATAGTGTTATAGTGTTATCACGATCTTCGAGTATTGATTTTGGATTGAAGTATTGGCAAGAAAGCTTCAGGTCACTTGGTTTAAACGACACATCGGGACAAGGGTTCTTTTGAAGGGGGTTCACTGTACCTATTTCAAAGTTATACAAGCAGGATCCCAACTGGATTTTCAAAATATCTGCTGTCAATATTCCCCGTGTGAACTCATCACTTAACATCGATGGATTGCTTGCTTGTGGCCTTTTTGACGTTACTAACATTGTCATTGAAATCTTTTTTAACATTTATTTTCTTTAATCTTTCATTATTAGTTGAAGCAAGAAGAGGAAAAGAAAATGTGTTGAATATGTTCAGTAATCTGAAATAACATCAAATGGGCAGAGATATCCCTCAGTAGTATAACATAGCGATATCCTTTAGCAGTATGCCACATCATGTTGTCTAGCTGCCGCAGCACTGTCTGCCCACAATGAGTGATTAGGAGATTGCTTTTGTCACTACGCACTGCTACATGCTGTTCCATGGTGTTCCCCAAGAGGTCATCCATCCAGATCTGGGTCCCGATCTACAAAGCGTTCGTAACGTTACGACCTGTCGTAACTCTAATGTAGCGCTATGAATGCTTTGCGGACCAGGACCCAGCATAGCACTTTCATTGCTTCAACAAAGATTATGCGGCTGATTTGACGACAAATGAAACATGCTCATATTTTAGAAAGTGCAACAATATATTAACTTAGGGATTAGGAAGCCATCATGATAATAATTCCATATCCTCTTGATGATTCCGTACTTGATACGTGCGTACAATTTGCTTGATCGAAAATATAAGTACACATTGGATGTATTTGAGGAAACAAATTGTTTTGCAATTTTCTTTGGAGTACAGTGGGTAGAGCAGGCTATCGATAAATATCACAGAGATCGATAACCGTTAACCAAATATCGATCGATTATCGATACATATGGGAGAAATAACTTTTATAAAAAATGCCAAAATAGTCAGAAAGAAATGAATATATTTCACACCACTGATGAGTGGTGACATGTGTGTGCATGGGTTACAAACAAAACAGTGTCCTCAACATGATGTAGAAGCAGTCCATGAATAAACACCTATCTTTGTGCATTGTATGAGTAAATTACAACTTTATTCTATCACAAAAAAGTTTTGATACGATATTATCGATGACTCTATGTTTAATATCGATAATAATTGTTCTTATGTACGATATTTCCGATTATCTATCTTTGTAGCCAGCCCTAATGTGATATGTGTTCGGGCGCTATGTTTAGAAATTATTACAAAAGCACAGTGGATCAGCTCCTAGCTCTGCGTAGCAAGTCAATGTCCAATCGTTCGTGTGAAGCAGTACAAACATGCGATTATCGCAGTTTGATATTAGCAGTTGACGGAACAGTTTAAACTGGGAAGCAATGTTAAAAAATGCATGTTATTATCATTGCATGTTTTTAAAAACATTTTGGGGGTTTGATACTTGGGCAAATAAATGGACAATGTTTCGGTTAATTGTGCATGACATATATATTCTTGCAAAATAACCACTTTATGCCTTTGAGAGTGATGTTGAAAGTGTAACCTTTTTATAGTTAATTCTCGTGTCTCATCCTTTAATTTATATCTTGAAAAGTTTTCATGAAGTATATCATTAACTGAAAATATAGTACAAGCATTTTGGAACGGTGTGTCAAATCTGCTTTAATGTAGATAGATATTTACTTACCCATAAATGCTATGTTCCTCACAATCTGTTAACGGTGTTAAAAATACAAGTAATGACATCACTTAAATACCATGTATTCAGGTGTGAGGGATTCATCAAATATTAATAATCTTATCTTTGTCTATCCACATAAATATATATTCAGTAACCATGACAACTGTCATACTAACCCTACTTTTGCTATAGGGATCTCCAAGCAGTTCACAGGATAGAAGTTTAGACACTCCTTCGCCTACTTTTCTGGCTGCGCGTCGAGCAAGACGTGCGCCTAAGGTATCCCTTGGACTGGGTTCAGTCTCAGATGTTTTTGTTACCCAGAACTGGAGTTCTACCTTGCACCTATATACGTAACACATTTACTATTTGCGCTTATCTTGTTGCACGTACTAATCCTTTCACGCTTCTGGAGACTGGGTTACCTTCTACATGTCGTATATACAATGCACCTATGTGTTACTAATTCTGTATGACAATCACCATTCCTATGGTGTTTCTCTCATAATTTAATTCCCTTAGTTATCATATGTTCCCATAAATGAAATCGGTATTATCTAGTAAAGGTCATCTGTGCCATGATCATTAACAGACGGAATTATTTTGACCTGATCAGCGACAACGTCCAGGCATGGAAGTCGGCTCGAGGAATCTCAATAGACTCGCTGTATCTTCATATACATTCACTGTCAATGAAGACTATTGTGGTATTTTCAATTAGACATGCTTGTCTTATTTTCCCCTCATGTATTAATGACTGGGAATGGCCTACATGTAAGTCACTAATGACAAAAAGCTCTTTACCATTGATGTATTTAACCAAAGGCCCTAAAGCCTCTTCAAATCTTCGTTCTAAATATTGTGTCAACATGGAGTAAAAATATATTTTGCCACACGAGAAAGTTATCATTAAGACATAAACGAAAAGCGTCCCACAGAAGATGTAGGATGCATTATATTTTTCTTACACACGAGAAGACTTTCGGAAATATAGAGCTTGGTGTACTTTTGTCCAAATGGTAAATTTGTGAAACGAATAAAACAAATTGTAATCGGCAATTACAAAGAACCAAAATGGTTGTGTGCCTTATGTGGTTTTGGTTTTACCACGTACTCAATATATATATTTAGAACATGATGCTTTCCCCATTGCAAGTAATCTCTTCATGTAGTCGGTAGTGTTGGTCTATGCTTGGAGGGGATCACTTGCCTTCTGGTAGAACAGCACACTACCACAAACACAAATATTCCCCACACAGTTGACAAATAGTTATAAGACAGATATAATGCCACTTTCAGCAGAATGTCTGTTAAACATGACAGACACACACGCTTGGAGCACATTAAATGGCCTATAGGTGAATACAAACAGATAAAACGAGTTTCTTCGTTGACTAGCCGTGGAAGTTAAAAACGCACACCGGTAAGACAATTAATATACCCAATTGATCTTATTGATTTACTTCATAAGAGTTAATATATAATAAATTTTGTGTACAATTGTGCTGAATGTGGCATTATACCCAAATCACTCGCTCTTTGCATATTTCATGAATGCACCTGAATGTTAAATAGAATGGTATGGAATTAGAGTATTAAGACTAAGTAAGTACCAATTAAATGCATAATTACCAATACAATATATACTTAATGAAATAATGCATTACCCCTTGGGAGAATGATTGTCAGTGTATGTTTGTGTTCACATTAACACTGTGTGTAGATGTATGTTATCATTATGAAGATTGCCTTCTTGTTTCAAAGATTTCAATTGCAATTTCAGGTCAAGAAGAGAAAGTTGAATGATCAATTTCTATATTCATTTTTTTTGTATTAACAACGTGTGTGCATGATTGTTTGTCATGATTTCCATCTTGTTATCTTACGAATAGATTTTGTTTTTTAACATTGTTTAAAACTAATTCCATTTTCAGGCAATGTTTTAAAGTGTCGTCAGTTAGTGACTGATTTATGTTGTGTGGATATTAACACCTTGTGTGAATGTATGTCATCGCAAGGAATATTTTTCCATATAAAGATTTGTTTTAGAGCCCTCTCAATAATAATAATTTCCGTATCAAGACAATTTGTTTCCAATAAAAAGGGACGGCATCCGGAAACTAGGACTGTGCATGTAGAGATCTTGCTGTACGATCTTTGACTGCTTTCATACCTCTGTGGGAACTTAGGGGAAACCTTACAACAACCCCGCAGATTTGGTTGAAACGTCGGATTTTAGCCTCCCCTTGAGATACCTTGGATTTCAAATTGACTGTGCATATAACCGAATGTGAATATAATTATGAAACAAAGACTAATGTTAGTCCAGCAAGGAGACGTTGTAGAATTGTAAAGAGTAAATCTAATCGACAGTTATGAGTTTTTTTTAGGTTTACGCTGCTTTTAGCATTATTACAGCAATATCACGGAGGGGGACACCAGAATGGGTTCACACATTGTACGTTGTCAAGTATTGTTAGATCAATAGGGAAAAGAGAAACAAAATTATTCTTTAAATCATTGATAGAATAACATTAAGAAAGTATCCTGCTGAACCGAATCCTCCAGAACAACAATTCTGAGTGACCCCTCTAACATAATGGACTCCACCTCCAGGCGACAGGTCGAGCTCACCCTAGCCGGGAGGACAAGATAGAGTTCCTGAAAGCTCTGGGAGAGTCTGCAATGGGGCACCTCAATCTCCAGATGCTGTTCTTCTTCAAGTACCTTGTAAAGCACGGCCCTGAAGATGGTATTCCCCAAATAGACAAAGACTTGTTCTTCTATGTAGAAGTACAGAAATTCAAAGTAAGTATTTCAGTATCCAAGGACGGTGTATTATTAAGATCGCTGTTTGGTGTGTCGTGTATGATTCTGATATGACAGGTCCCTTCAAGAACTTCTTACGGTTTGACGCGATCTTGACCTGTCAACGCCATACCAATCCCGTACTGAAAAATGACAGGTCACTTTCAGCTTCCCTGTCACAGTTGGCTGAACACAGTTGTATATCTAATCAAAGCAGAAAACTAAAATTGAGCCAGTTGGTAATGCCCTATCAAATATAACCAGAAAACAGCTTGACGGCCCCGTAGGTCGATCTCGAGGTGTTATACCGGACAGTAAAACCTCGTTAGTTCGGACCCTGTTAAAAAAAGAAGACCGGTTCGTTCTCGAGTGATAACTGCTGAGAACACTTTCGCATTTGCGAATGAATATTTCTTAATGCACATTACGTGACTAATTTAGTGTTGTGTTCCCGTCCAGATTAACAGGGTTCCAATCCGCGTGTCCCTCCGCTAATTACTTTGTTTAATGTTCACATACGTGTTTCCACAGGACTGCAGCCACGCGCATTCCAACGACGAGCTTCTACGAGACAAGGTTCAGTCAATCGTAGAGTGCTTCCTTGAGTCCGTCACAACACCTGCCCTCCAGGTATGGACAACGCCATTGTGTGTACTGGGAATAAATAGGATGATATATATTCATTTTTTTATGAGGCGTACCGTTTTCACGTACGAGTATCGGTATCTGATCTATAACAATAGCGGATCACTAATCAGTCAGATGTATGCCAGATATGTACATTGCTATTGTCACGACGTCATGTTGCCGTGATGTCATCATGGAAAGGGGCCCATTTCATTCATGTCATTTGTTTTCGTTTCCTTGTTCCCAGTTCAAATTCAACAGCATCATATACAATCTTGTTTTCATACCCTATGTCTTTACATATTAAATATATAAATCGTTTCCTTGCTCTCTCGAAAGAGTGGTGCAGTCATCTTAGGTGCCACTATTTAGAGCTTGCCTCTTTGGCTACCAGAAAAATAAAGCTGGGGTCCAACTCCCTATGTTTCTAGGTTTGTCAAAACCATATCGGTGCTGGAAGACTTCACCAAAGTGATAAACGTCTGTCTTTAGGACTTTTATGGCAGAGGACTTCCGTCCCACATACTGAGCCAAATGACACACCTCCTGACTTACTACTTCAACAGCCTGGTGTGCGAGTTGCACGTGTGAAGTTGAAATTTCACTACACACGCTTGTTGATTACCTCGCTGTTCTACCAGCAAGTGGTCCCCCTTCGTAACAAATAGCGAAATGTGACAACAAAATAATGATCGTTTGTAAAACAACTTCTATATTCTGGTGTCCAAAATTATGAGACAAATCATCAGAGTTGGTCTGTCGATTTCATGTGACTGTGCAAAATTTGGTTTAGTTGCAATTATTAGATTTTGTGTTAGTGGGCAATTCATCGGTATCAAATGAAATCAACGGGCTGTAGTATGTACGTCAATTGTCACAATAATGTTATGCATAATATGGACAATCCTCAAACCCACAATTACTACTGCCCAGGTTGACATCACGCCAGAGACACACACCAAGACGAACAAGAGCACCGCTCGCTATCTTCAGGGGAAGGAAACAGGGTCTAACATTTTCGACGAAGCCCAGTTCCAGGTGTTCAAGGAACTGCTGCCATACTGGGCCGGATTCATGAAGTCGTTTGCCATGGACGACAAGAAGAAGGCTCCAAGTATGTTAGCATGCATGTGCATGGCGTTGGTTTGGTAGGGATGCACGAATTATTGGTCAAATATATATATGAAGCCCTTGTTTGGTGGAGGTTGTTATTGTAAACGTAACGTAAACAAGAATGAACGATTTACTTCTAACGTAACTGTTTATTTCAGAAACAAAGTATCAGAAACTCGTAGAGAAGAGAATGAACTCCATACAGAACTATCAAATGCCACCCCTGACCTTCACTCTTCCGTCGATACCAGAGGGCGCTGTTCCCGCCTTCACTATCACGCTATCGGAAGGGGTCAAGTTCAAGGTCAGTAGCTTTGGCTTTCGTTAAGATCTTGTCAGACTGGTTTGCAATAGATGTTAAAATTGTAGTACAAAATATATTATACAAATTAAAACCGTGGATTGAAGACTACACCAAGAAAGTTGCATGTAGTAATTCGACGGTGGTAATGCCGTACTGTTCGCACATGTTGTGACACCTGCACAGGTCCCCTGTTCTCATGCACAAGGTTTTCTAAGCACTTGGTTTACAGATTCCAATGACGAAACCTTTTTTAAATATGTCCGAAAAGTCTTTAATATTTTTGCTAAAGTCAGATTCTTAATAAATATTTAATGTCACCGCCAAACAATAACCGGTCTCGGCTACCCACCCAAAAGGATTTCATTGGTCCGAGCTTTCAAAATAGCAGTGACTATATGTCAGCTTTTAATAATCAAATACGGCAATAAGATGAATCCACGTGGCTATACCTACTCTTTCATTTCATTTATTCGAGAAGCCTGAGATAAGTCTCGCAAGAGACCCCTTTATTTGTGAGGAAGGTTTGTTTTTAACATCAGCCCCATGGTCATGAAAGGTAATCTGTAAACCAAATAATGCTGAAACAGTCTTCATCTATTCACTCCTTGCATGCCCACTTATCGTGTCCTCTCAATACTAACACGTACATAATCTAATGTCTACATTTTTTGTGTATTCAATTACATAAGTACTGTGTCCCAGTCCACCTAGCTGTAAATGGATACCTCGTAAGGATGGGAAAGCCGCAGTAATTCGGTGTGCCTTGTGGCAGCAAGAGTTGTATGATCCCCAGGGAGCTGAGATTGATAATAAGCAGTGTATGAAATAAGGCCCGTCCGACAGCCCGAGACGGTCTAGATTTCTGACGGACGGTCTAAATTTACAGCTAGCCAGCCCGATGGTCTGGTAAAAATTGTAGATGTTCCATATATCTGATTAAATTCACCATATTTGGTCTGGTTAACTCCATTTTGGGCAGGTAACATTTTGAAATTACCAGCCCTGATGTCTGGCTGGGTTTTTGGATTATTTCATACACTGTAATAAGATGTGCCGTTAAGATTGACATCCTATGATCGAGGGAAATAATACCAGCGCCTTGAGCATGCACTAGTGTGTGGATATGTGCGCTATAGAAATATCCAATAATAATAATAATAAATAATTGACTTTAATTATACTGATACACTGTATTGTTTCTGTTAGGATGTTACCTAAGCAACAGGTATAGTATCATGCATACTATAGAGAACTTTAACTGTACAATATGATACCCTCTTGATGTAGAAGGTAGATATGGCCATATTATTCCCCTATGGACGAATCGCAAATACCGGGATGTGTTTGTATTACGCTTTAATGTTTTTATAGCATGCAGTGTAACAAAAATAAACAATGGCATTATTTTGAATATACGCCCACATAGCTATCTTAACATGTCGATATTATCTTTGAATGACAACCCTTGGTGTATCTGAAACAGTATGTATTAACCTTGTAAATCTACTATAGGTAGAACACCAATATTGAGGTAACTATGGGTGTATAGTCACATATACCTGTCACCTACGAATATATATATTGTCATATTGTCATGTCAAATTGTTTCACAATAGCATCAGGTATGACATCGCTACTCCAACAGGTGTAGCAGATGTAGGTATAGTGTGAACTGTTTGATCCACCTGGACCGAGCTTGGTAGTTTGTAAATAGGCGCAGGCCAGTGATGGAACCTTGTACAAACCAGTATGCAGTTGTGAGGCACAGTAAACGTACGTGTGTTTGATCGTCGTATCTATTCCCATATATACACACTTTTGGATTTACATGTATATACCAGTAGAAGTTACTGTACATTTTCGATGTTCGATATACTGTACATATACACCATGTTCAATACTCTGTACATATACACCCTGTTGGATATTATCAGCTATAGTTAGCTACTTCCATTATGTGCTATATTACACTATTAGATGCTTTCTGCTTGTTGCTACAAGTGTATACCACTTACATAAAGTCATTGTGTAGCAAGATGCTGCAGCTATATTCCCTGCACTTCAGCAGTGATAGGTGAAGGTCATGGTCATAGCATTGCCTAAAGACGAAACCTATTAATGTTTTACGGTTAGAGGCCGGTCGTCACCTAACGTTGTGCGTTACATACCTTTACATATTTCAGCCTCATGCGGAAGGTGCTCTTGCATTGTCTATCTCGGACAAAATGTCTGAGAAAAGTGTCCGTTTACCCCTTAACACTCCCCCCTAACCCTGCCTGTGGTAAGTGATGGTTGTTGTAGACTACTGAGTGTTGTAGAACAGGTGTGTGTCGTGTGTATTACCTGACCTCCATGTAGTACATACTGTATCCAATGACAGGTCATTCTTATCCTCTGATAGTTTGCAATATGTTGGATATAATGCGAAAAGCACGGATGTTCATCAAAATCTGAAATGATCAGATTCATGGAACGAAATTGATTGTTGCGGAAGACGTTTATGTATGTTCGCATACATTTCTGTCTATGGAAAGTTTTCATGCAGTGATTTGTTTCCATCTCTCCCTATAGACATAGCTAGCTGATCTGTAATGCTACCACTAATAGGTTGTGATGCTACCAACGAAGATTGAAAAGCCCCCTATTGTTTACAGTGCAAACGAAATCACCTCTAGTATTCTTTATCGTTTGACGTGCCTGTAGAGAAATATAATTATTTTTGTTGAAATGCAAAAAAGGGTATAATAGCATCCCTTTCTGTTTGACGTTCATACAAAAGTAGCTTTAGAATTCTTTATTTGTTGTGTATTATGGCAAAACAATACGCGTTCCCAATAATATGACGTGTGTGACATACAATGCCTTCAGAGATGTGCATCCCAGAATGTCTTTGCCAATTTCTTTGCAATGCGATAACAGAATTATACAAATGTCAGGACATCTTTGAGAGCAAATTGTGGTTTTCTTAGACAACTGATTTGATATTTGGTCTAATGGACACTATAAACCTTTTGTCTTTCAGCAACCTGTAAGTATGGTCAATGTGCATTTATGATCTCTCATGAGTTTGTCTCTAATGCATTCATCTGTCGTGTCTTTTCGTGGACGCACTGTAGGTTTACATCTTCTAATTGACCGTAATTAATTACTTCTTAATTACTGTTTAATCCCCACCAAGTCTTGTTCATGATAACCAGATTTGTGTCTAGCATTTTACTATTACTGTTTACTACCTCAGTACGTACCTTTGATATAGCATTCTGAATGATATTAATACCCCTGCGAATATAACTTTACATTCAGAATGATTTCTGTTGAAATGTCTTCTAACTCTTGTTTTTCCCCACAATCAATCCCCTGACATATTGACACATTGAATGTTAACGTCTAATGTTGTAATATTTACTTTTACCTTTTGCTATGAAGTGTAATAATATATCAAACGATGTTATTGTGAACTTCTTAAATGAAACAAATCAACAGGACTTGATGACATGTCCCAGAAAGTTCAAACATTAAAGATACACATTGGTCATGTAAAATGTATATCAAAATGGTAAAGACGTAAAATATAATGTCTCAAAATTATCAGTGTATGTTTATGAATACAAAGTGTTGCCACGGGTATTTTTGTTTCCTTTGTAGGAGGGCCCGGATGATGGTCCTTCCCTTCCAACACCCAATCCGGACCGTATGAGTAGACTGGGCGGCGTAACAGACAGACAGAACCGGTCCAAGATGGCTAGTGCTAGTACGCTTAACAGTGCTCGAACTTTCATCAGATGAGAATGGACTCAGTCGGTAGCTGTATTTCGGTTGTGAAATGCGACCCTTCATTACAATGGCAAGCAATTTCGCAGCCCGTACTGTCAACTTATATAAGTAAAAACGGTCAGATATATTCAAACCTTGAGACTGTACATACTGTGATAAGAATTGTGTTACATTATCAAGTGAGAAGAAAGATGAAAGTAGCCCATGAGCTCTCATTTCAAACCCTGATTAATCCTAGAGCGAGACTCACATTTTCATGTTATTTGTGGATGAACAGGGGTTTTCAACACGTCTTAAATGGTAGTTAAGCACGTGTGTCTTTTACACAATGGGAATTGTGAACTGGTCACATGGGTCTTAAGGTCTTTCGCCTAATGTGCCGCTCGATGACTTCCTTCATTGCTGAACATGTTTTATGTTATGAGAGTGAGTGATGGCGTGATTTTACGCAATGCTTTGTAATGACTTTACGGATAATTATGGAATTTAAAATGAGTCGTGTACTTGTTCATGTTCCTCGGGAATGCGTCTTTAATGAATGCTACAGGGCATCTTCTTGAGTCACGTTTTGTCCATAAAGATCGATTTTAATTCGTGATATCTGCACCAGCAGATGGTCAGTACTATGGCATGGAGTAAAGGATGTGACGTCACAACTGAAAAAAGAAATGTCATCAAAACAAATGGTTGAAAGTGAATTTTGTATTTTGAATATTTTTTAAAATGTTTCTCAAAAGGGTACATCAAACAGAATCAAGTACTCGAAACTCGTTAGCTCCCTCATCAGGATTTCCTGAAACTCGGGAATGGCGAAATATTGGTTACCTGCGAATAGGCAGTGATATTTATTCAGTGTTAATGAGTTAATAGTTTTCTATGTAATTGATGCAGGGTTGACTACACATTCAATTCAATTTTCGATGTCCCTATGACATTTTAGGCAGAATATGATCATGTTGTTTTCGGTGACCTAGAACAGGAATTGTAGCGACTAATCTGCAGAAATTCTGCCACACCAGACATCCTGCATATAAACTCTGTCCATGTTTGCCAGTGAGCACTGTATGTGCAGTACAGACCTTTCGATTGGGTACACAGCACTGCTACTGGTTATTAACCCCCCACGCAGAGCTGGTGGGGTGTTGGGAGGAATAATCACTTCCTGGTTATCGTAAGAATTTTAGAGACAATTCCCGAGATGAATTCATGTTGATGTTACCAAGCATAAATAAGAGAAACTGCATTGTAGCCGCGTTTCTGGCTGACATGGATCAAATGTTCAAGTGATGTTATGTCCACATCGTTGTCCGTACCTCCGTCCTAGTTAACAGTTTCATCTGCCCTGAAACAAGGCCTATACCAAGAAATGCAAGATTTATGGATGTCAACTTCTTTATTGTGAATAACACAAAGATTTGAAGGCCTGTACTGATAATATTACAGTTTTCAATAGTTAATGCCAACATAAGTGTTTCTAAAATTGTTGAAATAATTCATATTCGATTATAAAGATGACAGCCATATGTCATATTGATGCCTATGGTCACATTTTTAAATATGTAATATACAGGACACGAAAAACATATACAATTTTGGCGTATTTCATTTTTTATCCAGCTGTATTGTTACCCATTCATACATACGTTAAAGTTAACGGAGAAAAGATTACATGAGCATTAGAAACGTTTAGTGTTATTTGTGAAGTACCGTTAACAGGTAAATATGGCCAATGACCATGTATGAGAGACTACCAAGCATTAAGGCTGTGCTTCCATATTTACCAAATACTTGATTCCGGTGTTGCTTTGTGCTCAGATCAGTTGTTCCCCTGCTTGTATGATGTGCTATCTGGATAATGACAACTATACTCGGTCAAATTATTGATTACTTTAGCTAATTATCTACAAGTCACTTTTCAACATCTCTAATAACTATCTCTATTTGTGGACTCGAATTTTAAAACTTGGTCTAAAAATGTTAAAACAGTAAAACCGATCTTGCCTCGTGCCTTTTGTTATTTGCTTTGTTGTTTTGTTGATTATTGAAATCTTGTTGTTGATTCCTAACGTTACGTAGATTTAATTGTTCATAATTTTCTGTAATATTAGAAATAAAATGAATTCTGTTTTTACAAATATAGATAAGATTGTAACCACTGTAGCTGCTCAAAAAGCAAGCTATAATACAATGAACAGTTATTGCGATGTAAACGTGCCTTTAAAATGCCTATCAAGGTTCATGTTTCACTTTTTGTGAGTATGGTATGTCCTTTATTGACACGTGCAGTCCATTTTCTTTGTTAGTAATAATACTGACATTACATTTCATTTCAACTGAACGCAACCATCCTATGGTACATATGGCTTGATCCATGAAAATGGATTAAAACTAAACAAAAGAAGTGATTTAAAAATGGAATATATGTTGAGAAATATTACCCTTCACCATATTTTTATGTATGTAGTCTGTGTTAAATGCATTGTGAATATCTTCTATTTATTCTTACATCAGTATTACATGTACTATGACCATAGCATGCCTTAATGACACTGTCTCATGGTTTTACTGCTGTAACATATTTGTTTTATAGAATACGTTATATATAGAATGTACATGTTTAAACATTCAATCTGAGCTGGAATCTGTGATACACGAAACTCGATTGCCATACGATGTTGCCATGGTTACAAAGAAATAAATGGATGTGGGTGCAAATAGTTGATAACTAGTTTGTTATTTATAATAAATGTGACAGAGGAGCCAGAACTATCTAGAACTGTCTTGATGATTTCTGTAAATGAGAACACTTTTTTCGTGTTCAAAAACAACCACCAAGCCACCAAGCCTGCCCACCAGATCAAACTGATCGCTTCATTAGACAAGCATTGGATGCTTAGTGAATATTTCATCCCAGAATACCCTTGGAGTTTAATGGCAGCAGAAAAGGAGGTTTATTTTAAGGCCTTGGACCCAACTACAAACCATATGTAGACAGCAAGTGCAAATGTCATCATACATAAATACACAGATACAAGAATACAGTGAACAAGGAGATTTAAATATTGATTGCCTTAATATTCACTGCTAGAATATTTGCAAGCATCTTAAGACTTTCGTAAAATTATTGTTGAACCCACAAGGGTTACTGAGCATTCCAGAACACTTATAGACGTAATATTTGTTTCGAATTATGGTAATGTGTGTTCCTCAGGCGTTCTCAGTCCTGGAGTAGAGGCCATTGTGTCGTATTGGTTAGTTTAAACAACACGAAATCCTATGACAAGAATTTCAAAAGAAACATATTATTATGTTAGTATTCATGGGAACATGTCAAAATGCTTTGTCACCTTTTTATGCGTGAAAATAATGTAATGTTGTTTGTCCATATTGACCTTTGCAAGTGTCCTAACATTTCAAAATCATACTTTTGAGTTTTTAAAAGAATTGACATGGGTCCAAAAATGCCAAAAAAACGTGTTTGCAACCGAAAACGTTCTATAAAAAAATGACATATATAATTGCATTATGTTAAAAAAAAATTATTACATGTCCTTATAAACAAATGATGTAGGTATAAATAGGCAAAAGAAATTTTATCATGATAGCAGGAATTTAGGTCAAAATTTTGAATTGAAGTTAAATGTTCCCATACGGGAACATTGGCAGGATCATCGTTAAAATCGATATATTCACATCATCTGCATTCATAGATAAGAAAAACCCCGAATGATCTGTTCAATTCTTTATTTCGAATTAGATATCTTGTCCTTTATGATAAAGCCAATGAATTTATTTATGTTACTGAATTTCCTGTCCCTTCTGACAGCAATGTGATTGGCAAGATTCAGGAAAAGCATGCTAAATATGCGGACCTCGACTTTGAAATGACTTGCTTGCATCCCAAGTACAATGTCGTCAGATTCCCCATTGTTCTGGGTGCCCTTAGTTTGGTGCCCCGGTTCTCCACCGGGAGCACAGCCCTTCTGACGCTCCTTCTGGGTAATGCAGAAGGCTGCAGTGTTGGGGAGTCTACATATTCTCGAAAAGTTCTTGGTTGGTAGAGGAGGGTAGGGCCCTGAGCTGATGATGAGCCTTACCAGCCTGACTGGATACTATTTTTAATCTAAAACATAATGATGAATAAATATATTTATATAACTTCCATCCCTATAGGTTGCTCAGTGTACAGGAGATATAAAATAGTCATTCAGAATAGTTAGTCAAAGGCTTGCTTGAAGAGGTGTGTCTTTAAGAGTCTTAAAATGAGATTTGTCAGAGACAGTCCTTACAGGAAGAGGAAGATCGTTCCACAGTAGAGGAGCTGAGGCAGAGATGGCTCGATCATCCATGGATGATTTCATGACTGGGACTGAGAGGCGAAGATAGTCGACAGAACGGATGGTATGGGTTGGTTGGTATATGCTGACAAGACTTCTGAGATAGTGACACGATGATTCATCATAGACACAGTTTTGGGCTAGAAGAACTGAATCCTGAAATTCACGGGCAGTCAGTGGGGGGCCTTCATGATAGGTGTTAAATGCTCAGTTCGCGGCGTGCGCGTTACAACCCTTGCTGCTGCATTCTGGATTCGCTGTATCTTTGCTATCAGAGATGAAGGAATATGGAAGAAAAGGAGGTATCCAAGGGAGAAATCCAGTCGTGATGTGATGAGAGTCTGCATAAGAGGTTTTGTCGTTTCATGGTCAAGAAGATGCGGATTTTACTGATGTTGTGAATGTGGAAGAAAGCAGGTTTTGCTCAAGTTCGTGACATTTTTTTCAAGGGACATGCTGGATTGAAATATGATTCCAAGATTTCTTATAGATTGAGTGGTTCTGACATTGCTGTTGCCAATGTTAAGTGACAGACCTGCATTTACTTTCAAAAGCTGCTGTTCAGAACCAAGCAGTAGAAATTCTGTTTAACTGACATTTAATTTGAGAAAATTGACAGTCATCCAGGATCTAACCTCCCTCACCCAGTCTTCAATTTGACTGATTCCAGTAGCGGTTTCAGATGGCTTTATATGTAGATCTTATTGTTGCCAGCATAGAGATGAAACATCAAACCGTGTTTCCTGATTATATCACCTTTTGCTGAAAAGCAAAGACCCCAGAACTGAACCCCGCGGAACACCAACCTTAACTATATTGTATTATCGGAAGTGAGGTAATGTCGCCAGTCTTGACAACCTGAGTTCTGGCGGACAGGTAGGATTTGATCCAAGAAAGAGCCTTTCCTGTAACACCGAGTCTTTCCTCCAAGCGAGAAAGCAGTATAGTATGGACCAAGAAGAACCAGCAGGGTTACATTCTGCTGGTCCATTGCCCTCATGACATCGTTATAGATACGAACAAGTGCAGTCTCTGTGCTATGTTTTGATTTGTAAGCACTCTGGAAGGATTGAAGCAAGTCATTATTGAGTAGGTGTTCTTCAAGCCTTTGTGAAACAATTTTCTCCAAACATTTAGAAATGAAAGACACATTAGATACTGGCCGGTAGTTTTTTAACTCATCCGAATTTTAACTGGGCTTTTCAATGAGAGGAGTGACGACAGCCCGTTTGAAAACTTTGGTAACCGCAGCATCCCTCAATTGGATAATGGACTGGAATGAGAGAATCCAAGCTTGCTGTGCATAGCCATGTTGTATTGGCTTCCAGGCTAGACGTTGCTTTAGCTTTGGATAAAACCTAACGTATTTCTTCCGGATAGGTTAAGGAGAGTTCAGACAAATATGTACTACTGAAACATTACTCATTGAAAACCCGATTCTGCAGAGTAGTCTAATGTCAAGTTCTTCGCGTATATCCAATAACTTGGCTTTGAAAGTATCGGCAAGTGTACGATTTGTATCCAACTTCAAGAGACTGTTCAACAAGGACGAATGACAACAGAACTAGACCTCAGGGGAGCATGCTTATCCAATATTCGTGATAAGCCAGTAGTTAACACATCAGTCTGATCATCAACTCCACAAGAATCAGAGAGTGACTGTAGCAGCTCAGAAGATTCAGTGTCATTAGAAAACTGTCTAATGTCTATCTTTCAAGTCTTCTTGTAGCTAATTTCTTTTCTCACCTGCTTAGGTGTAGTAAGTTTGACAGAACACTGAATCAGTGAATGATCAGATATCTGTTTGTCACTAACATCTACGACATCCAGAATATCACAACTATCCGTGGCTATGACTAGTTGTGTATGACCTGATCGATGAGTTGGACCAGACACGTGCTGTAGGAGAAGATGTCACAGAAGGATTTAGCAAAGAAGTCAGACACAGAATCAGCATGGATATTGAAATCCACCATTAGAACCAGATGACTTGGTGACAAGGATGGACTAACATTCAGGAACACTTGCCACATGATTTTGGTCGCTGTTATTTTGGTAAGAAAACCCATTCCAGCTGCGTTACATGCCCATCATCGTAATTTATGTGATCGTTTAACACCTATTTCATTGCCTAGCTCTTCCTGGAACATTCCTGCATCATCGATTTATGTGTTAAAGAAAGTTTTGTTCACTAAATTTCAAAGAAATAAAAGATGTGTTACAAAAATATATACTCAGCAGCAAAAAAACCCACGTCAGTACGAATTCAAAATTAGATAGGCACTGTAATCAAATCATTATAGAAATGGACATAATAAGCGGATCAAAACCATTTTTTGTGTACAATATCTTGACACATCAATGAATAACTAGGCACAATTTCAAGACATTACGTGAACGATTGCAGTCCATTCAGACTCTTGACTTCAGTATCTAGTGTCACCACCACACAACAACTGCAGCACAGCTTCTATGCATGGAGTGCACCAATCGGTTGTTGAAGGCCATTGGCACCTGGAACCACACTCTGAGAAAGGCCTGGCGCAATCAATCGGCTGTGTATGACATTATTCAGTCTCCTCTGAATTTCATCCCAGAAATGTTCTTTTGGGTTTAAATCAGGACTAAGGGCTGGCCACTGCATAATACTGACACCGTTTTGCTGCAGGAAGTCCCGTGTAGCTCTGGCAGTATGGGCCCGGGCGTTATCATGCTGGGAAATATTGTTCCGGTGACGTGCGAAATGTGGAATGGGGTCTGAGAGCTTGGTCGATGTAACGCACCGCTGTGATGGCGCCTCCTCTCCCTGAACCAAGGTTCTGGAACACCACAGGACCCACTCTCTGGTTCAGGCCTATTCCACCCCATACCACGATGCTTGCACCTCCACATGAGTCTCTTTCCATAACACATTGATCTGAGTAACGCTGGCCACGTCGCCGCCATATTCTTGTTCTGCCATCTGCAGTTGATACGCAGTAACGACTCTCATCTGTGAACAGAACAATTCTCCATTGCCTGTATCGCCAGTTTTGGTGTTGTTGGGCAAACTGTAGATGTTCACGCCGATGACGAGGGGTGAGGATAGGTCCACGGTAAGGTCTACGGCAATGGAGGTTTCCGCTGTTAAGACGTCGGCGTACTGTATCAGTACTGAATGGTCTTCCGTCTGTTCCCACTGTCTGGCGTGCTGTTTCGGATGCCTGCATGAAGGGATTCTGTACATGCTGTCGCACAACATGGCGGTCTTGTCGTCTTGCGGTGACCCTTGGTCTTCCAGTACGGGGGCGATCATTTGTGGTGTTGGTGGCCCGGAAAATTTGGTGTAGCCTGTAGATGGTCCGAACGTTGACCTGGAAGTGTTTGGCAACGGCTTGTGCAGT